TGTTCAGTCGTGTCAATCGATGTGGAAATATCGACAAAGAAAACAGAGGGCAACTCTGCTCGTCGCCCATCATAAAACACATCTCATCATCAGAAATGACATAATCAGACTTCACATTTTCACTGCCGAAGCGGTCTTTTTGGATTGTGAATATTTTTTTTCTGTTGTATTTCTTACCCTTGCTTTTTTATCACCGTTCACATTTTTGTACATAGGCTGATGAAAATGTCTTCAAAATGTTATCCCAGTGTAAAAATCCTCACAGTGATTGTGAAGTCTATTGCCACTTTTATGCCAAGCCAAACTGATGCCCTCAAAGTGGTTTGGCTATATGCCCATGTGTTGCTTCATGAGGCTTTTTGAAGGATTTGTGAAGTGGTGTTTTGTACAAAGTTATTTGGAAAGAGGTACAACCTTTTAACACATCGGCTTTGTCCACCTTTTAGGTTGCCACCTCTTCTGTAACGTTTAAATTATTACAGACGTCGCACGATAATCTGCAATGCCGGTTGGTCCGAGCCATGTAATACTGCAGCAGATTTCATGGGCAATTAATTAAATTTACGAAGGTTGATTCAACCTGACGGAGACCGTCCTATGTATGCATGTTGAACTTCTTTCGCACCGTGCGAAATCACCACTTTGCGACGGTTAACGGATGCTCCCAGGTTGAAACAAAATGAAACTAGTGTCAATTAAATCGCTATCCTTTGGTTGAGTGATACAACCGGAGAAGAGGCCGGGTCCTTCTGGGTTGGCTTTGCGCCTCCACAGTCGAACCGAATCCATTTGTGCCGGGCATCATCCACCTCATACGAAACCAGCGACAAGTCCCCTTTCAATCTCTGAATTAGAAGGGTCTTTTTCGTAGTTTCACATTTGTTGAGAAAATCGAGACTTTATGCATGTCACTTATATTATTGATACATTTTTACTTTGGTAGTCAAGTTGCTAAATGCAATATACAATAATTACAGAACAACTTCAAGTCTATTTCTGGAAGAGGTTTTTGATTTGGACATTCATGATTTATTCCTAAAATATAATCGTAGCTTCACACTATGTGGCTATGTGGTCCAACTTGCTTGTTTTGTAATGAGGATTACGAAGTACGCTCTCACGTTTTGTTGGCATTTAACAAACTGCTTTGCAAAGACCAGCAGCGTACGATTGAGAGCGACACGGTAATCCTCACACGCGACATGAAAATAAAACAAAACTCAGAATATAGACTTTTTACGACGACGTTATGTTATACACGCGAGGGTTTTAGGTCATTTTCACATCGGTGTTGATGGAAACTAAGTCACGCGTGTTTCACGTTGCCTCATGTGATGGATTCTTGCCGTTTGTGGGCTCGGCTTGCTCGCTTTAGAAGTGTTAAACATGCGTGCCGTAAGCCAGCAGATGGTGGTTTCCCTTCAACCAGTGGAGCACTGCTGCCAGGCGGCCACATGTTGTCATCCGCGTGGTGGTGCTGCCAACAACAACACTTTGAGAACTATTGTATCCCGTGCTGTCTACTTGACGTTTTCCTCTGCGCTTCTTTTGCCCAAATGTTTGGTTGGAGTAAAGAGAACTAGCACACTAGCACAATCTGCGGATGAAGTGTTCGCTCGGTTTGTGACTGGTATAAATACACATCTACAAAATGAAAACAGGAAATGCAGAACTAAATCATTTTATTTTAGGACATGTTTTCTATTGTCAACGATGCCATCACCATTGACGATTCGATACACTGAGACCACCGTTACATTATTATGAATCGGTTATGTTCACACAGACACCTGCTGATATATGAGAATGTAGGTTTGTAAAATGTATTCAAATTCATACAAGTTGAAACGATTGAGACGCCATCTCTTGAGCCTGAGGTCATGCTTCTCGGCACATTGATTGTCCACGTGTCCGTGTGTGTCCGTGTGTGCGTACTGTGTAATGTGTTGGTGTGATTGTGCTGCTGGCTTTTGAAAAGGATGTGTTTGTAAAAAGAAAAATATATCATTGACTTCGAAGTGGTTGTCAACTAAGCGGGGATGTGTTCACGCCTCTGAAACCTGCGTACGTGCGTGCAGTTTTAGTCTAAATTGCATTTTGTTGCAGTTATAAAACCCATTTTGATTGTAACACATTTACAAAATTTGGGAAACGAAGAGACAAGAACAATGTATACTCGGTTAAACTGTGGATGATGTATCGTCACGGAGTGAGAACCCCACATTTTCAAGAGTGAGCTGGAGCATGGGGGGGGGGGGGGGGGGTGAAGTGAGGTGCGATCATTGCTAAGCGATTTGCGGGTAATTTGGCAAATTTAGATTCCCACCGCCAGCACACTCTTGCGAACGATGTCAGGAGATCTCTCACGTGCACTCTGAAAGCAGACGACGGCGTGGAGTCGTCGTAGTAGTATTGTTATGGTTTGTTGCACAGCCGCACTTATAACCAGGGTAGCCGCTGGAACCGAACCGGAGAAGAAAACTCCGCCGCCTCGACAAGGGGCGCGTGGACAGCTCCACGCTTTCTGCCTTGAGTGTGTTGTCCTTCCCACGCACTTCCGATTAGCGCGGCTGGCTACGTACGGTGCGAAAGAAGTTCAACATTCTGTACATACAACAAAGACAAAAATCCCCCGTATAGCCTTAACAGACTGTTGGGGCAAGTGCTGTTAGCGAGCACTTATGAAGGCCAGCACGGCACGCATGAAGGCCGGCACGGCACGCGAGGTGATAGGTGGCCAGCACCACGCCCGGCCGCCTTTGTCTCCCTCGTGACGATGTTTACTACACACCGCATCTGGGGGAGGCCCAGGACCGGTTCAGATAATCGTCACCGGTGTTGGTGACCGTGAGCGGGAATCGAACTCGGGACGCCGGGTTCGTAGCGCGACGTAGCGCTGACCGCTACACTGCCGCTCCAAACTAACAACAACAACACAGACACTAACAACAACAACCGCCATTCGCCACTAAGTGGCGGTGACGTCACCACGACGCTTGTGCCAGGCCATGTGCACCTTGAGGCCACTAAATCACGAGTTAAACTAACAACAACACACACAAACAACACAGACACTAACAACACACACAAACAACACAGACACTAAGAACACACACAGACACGCGCATTCCCTGACACGGTCCACCCTTTTCTCGACATCGCCACCCCCCTTGTTGTCCTCTGGCACCAGAGCACGGAGCCACTGATGAGGGTTGTCTCTACCTAGCCCCCCCCCCCCCCCCCCACGGGCAGGGGACCCAGCGCCGGGCACGGGGGCCGCAGGAGGAGTCGAGACAGCCGGGGGCACCACACGGGGCACCCCCCCCCCCCCCCCCCCCATTCATTTCGTTTGTATTTTAATATTTTTTCACGGAAGACGAAAACACATTTTGACCGTCAATTACACGTCTCCTGAAGGAATCTTGACTTAAAGCTTTCGTGGCTGCAGGAATTCATATTCTTTGGGTCTTTCGGTAAAGTCACGTAGAAAGGTTCAAAGAAAATAACAAAAAAACTCCGACGTTTCGATCGCAACACAAGCGGCCGTCATCAGGAAATGGGGGTTATCGACGTGACTTGACTGAAAGACCCAAATAATGTGGGTCTCCTGAAGGGTTGTGTGTGTGTGTTTTTTGCTATCTGGTTAACTCTTTGTTTAAATGGCAATTCTGTTTTGCTGTGGCGTGCGCGTCCATTCGTGTCTCTTGATGTTCTGCATACTGACACGTCTCATCGTCAGCCAAAGCATATGTGAATCCAGTCACAAGTCACACAGGTTAGCACTTGCTAATACAGAACGGTGTTTTACAACAGACTTATGATTAGATGCATGCATGCATGCTCTTTTCCTCTCAGTGTGTGTAATTTTGTGTAATGGTTGCTTGATGAAATCCGCATTAAAGTACACATTTAAACATTGTCCGCCCCTCGTGCATCCGTTGACAAACGACGAGTCCGCATCTTCACGCCCATCCCAAGTCTGGAGCGTGTCCGTCAGGCGATCCAGAAAGTTTGCCAACGTCCCCACAGCGACGAACAGCCCCATCGGTACGGCAATTGGCCACCCGTGTTCAGGTGAAACCCACTGAGCTGTTAGGTTTTGTGCTTTTACAGAGGCCCAAGTTCCTTGTCACGTGGGAATTTATAGCAGCAGCCAAATAAACTAAACTCCGCGGGCAAAACGAGAGGACCGAGAGAAAAATCCACGCAACCACGGGGAGAGCACGCAATCTCCTGAGATATACAGGGCCCAGTCAGGCCCAGCGTGGAAGAGTAGACCAAATATCCACTGGAGCAGGGCCGGCACCGAGGTTGGTCTCTTGCACCACTACAAGTCAACCCAGGCTCACGCTCCTCGGCGGAGAACCACCCTGAGGGTGGCTCCCCTCCCCCAGCCGAGAGGAGCTGGAGCAGGGCCTCCAGCGAGGCGTCGCTCGTTTGGCGAAGTGGCTCGACACAGTTGTGTTGTTGTTGTTTCCCCAGGTGAGAACTCGAAGGGTGGTTGACAAGTCTCGTGTGCCAGAGTGTGGCGTTAATATCGGCAGTGGGGTGACGAAAGAGCACCGCGTTGATCCGAATTGGTGTTTGATAGCGGTGCGTTATTTGCGAATAGGGGAACCGTTGTTTTCGTCGCAGGTAATTCTGTGCTCAACGCCACCGCGGAGAACTTGGACAATGATTAAGCCACCGCGTAAAATTGCCACGAAACAGCAGAGGCGTTTGTAAGCTGTGGGTCTGAATCCAGCAGAGCTCACTGGGGTGGTTTCAGCAGAAGGATCGGTGTGTATGAGTCATTGGCAGTGCCAAGAGGATTAATCGCTCAAAAGACCATCGAGGGCCTGGGACAGTCACAGAGTCTATTCATATGACCAACCACTGTAGACTTTCCCTCAAATGGGTACTCAATTTTATCGACCATGGAATTGATGGGCCGAGTCAACACCCCAACCATGATTTGAGCCACTTGGCCACATGAGAATAAATGGTCAAGGAAACCGGTGTAGAATACATCGTGTTTATATGGCGGACTCATTAACGAGAATATTGCACGCAATTGTAAAACGGTACAAACGCAAACGATACATTCATTTTATTTGTATTTATCACACCTGAGCACATCTAATACGTTGACAATCTGATACAATATAGCCTCGTTTTTATTTTGTACATGTACCAAGTCAATGGACTCCAAATGCACTTTGTCTAATCTGCAACGTGTTACAGTGGAATGAATCCCTTTGTGTTCCAGCGGAATATGTCGACCCAATGTGCAAAGAGGCCAAGGTTTCAACCGATGGACGGCCTGAAAAGTAAAAGTGTTTAAGAGGCCAGGGCAGAAATCGTGAACCGCCTGCCTGAGCACGTGTTGCGGGGGCTTCTTTCTCATCGCCACAAATTAGCCAATCGTTGTTGATTTGCCATACAAACGACGTCAGGCCGTTGTCCACGTTACAGTAGCATAAGGAGAGAAGGTATCGCATTTGCCTCCAGTGCCGCCCTGGTATTGCACACAAGATCCTTGTGCTTTGTGAACATGTACTGTACGACGAACTTCTTTTGCACCGTACGTAGCCAACCGCGCTGAATCGGAGGTGCGCGGTTTCACACACAAACAGCCTATTCACTTCTGCTTGGACCTGTTGTCAGCGTTGCGTCACAACGCGAGCGTGGGACTTAGTTGAAGAGGAACGCGTGCCACACTGGAGTGCAAAATTACAGAATACGGGGACAGATGTGGAATTCAGCACCAAGTTGTACCTCAGGTGCAAGAGGTGTCACACAGGATGCAAATTAGCAATTGAGAATATTCTCACGTGGAGAAAAAACTCCAGAGTACTTCAGGTGCCTCTTATTAAGGCCTCTAAACAACGGTTTCCTGAGACGCTAAGTAGAGAAGTGAAGCCCCTGGCTAGGTCGATGCGATACGTTCCATGGTCTGGTGGCAGTCTAACCACGTGGACGGACAGCCAGAGCAGTGACCTGCAGCAGACTGAGCCAAGGCCACGGTTGCCCTGCGGAGCGTTCGAGCTGCGCTGTTTCCCACGATGTCCCAGTGAGTTTTTGGATCGGGTTCACCATCGTTGTTACTTTGTGGCCGATGCTGGCAAGACGAGGGCGATAGGTGAGATTCCCCACCGGGGTGACGGCCACGTGTTTGGGTACAGGCGCCTTCCGCAAAAAGCGTCGAGTTCCTTCCCTGGCGGATTGCCGCTCGAAACGCCGACGCAACTTTTCATTCGTGCAGTGTTGAATGATGTTGACCAGGCACTCGGTGGCCCGCTTGGAACATCTTCCCCGAGTAAAGTAAAACCAAACGCTACGATCCCATTTGTCGAGTCGTTCTGTGGCCAGCCTCACACCGTCAGCTCGCTGCATTCTCCAGAGCTGTTTGGTCTCAAGTCGAACGGTGGAATTAAATCCTAAGACTTTACTCGGTGGTGCTGGCTCAGACGTGAGCCCCATAAGCCACACGTCCACTGCTGTCAGTGCAAATCAGCAAGTACATTCGAGTTTACAAGAGGTTTGAGATTTATCGCAACAAAGATGTGCACTCATTTGGTGGGAGAATTGTTTCTGAAGGCACATGATGACATTAAATTATTTATACTGGAAGAATCCGATGAGCTGTAAAGCTCTTTTTCACAGATGTCCAGAGCGTGTGGAACTGTCACGCCACCGGCACAGTGGTCGTCCTTGCAGGATGGCTGAAGTGGATGTGCAACTCAAGCAGACTGCTGTGATGACGATACTGCAGGGATGGAATTTCTACTGACATAAGGGTGTTCAGGCTACCAAGGTGTGCAAAAGATGTATGGGTGAGCGAGCTTTTGTGGACGGCCACGCCTGCACGCGTGTCCACTGTAAACGTCGTCGAAAAGCGAGTCAAGCGACGCAAGGACATCAAAGCAGACATCGTCGATCAGGCCAAGGAACAGCCCGACCAAGAAAACGGCTGTGACCCCCAGCAATGCTGAGAGCGGAGCGACGCCGAAGGGTGGCGGAGAGTGGAGAGGGACACCGCGAGTTCGTTGCAGGCCACCCCCGTGCTGAGCGGCACACGCTGTGCGAACCAGAACGTTGGGTCCACTAGCCAGCTCGTCTGCAGATAGCAACCGAGAAGAATGGTGTTTTCCCCGTGCTGTACGTACATACATATGTTGAACTTATTTCGCACTGTGCGTAGCCAACTGTGCTAATCGGAGGTGCGGGGGAAGGACAACAAACTAGTAAATACAAAAAGCACTTATAAAGAAATTAGTTTTCAATCTCGATTATTTAAAAGTGCATAGCTCAAGTAGCTTCCTAATATCTGAAGAGCGTTCTAGACGGCTGCTGAAACGCATCTGAAAGCGCGTGATGTGATGTCCTTCGTTGCTCAATGGTTCGCAAAAAAAAGCCGCTTCTTCGAGGATAACAGAGCGGTGACGTTTCATGCCGATACTCGCAAGGTGGCGCTACGACAATGGTGGCGATGGTGCCAAGCATTATGCGGAGAAGTGAACTCCAGGGCCTGACAACACAGGCATGCATCGACTGTCCATGTGACGACTTTGATGAATTGTTATGGTGCATCCGTCGTATGACAGAGTAAAAGCACTGATGTTTAGGGGTTACTTGACTTCATAGATAGTGTGTTGTGTACATTTCCGATTAGCACGTTTGGCTACGTACGCTGCAGAAGAAGTTCGACATACGTACCACATCGCCTGACGTCAAAATTCTATGGCCGCCTTTGTCATTTTATTATTTTTTGTACAGCTGATGTAGATGCAGAGCAACCACAATTTCACATTCAGGTGGTCAAGCCAGATCACATTGTTGATTCAGATCAATGTGCCCTAACTTAAAAATATCATGGGGAAAAGAAATACCATATCATATCGGTTTAAAATTGTTCGTTCGTTTCTCACGACGGCAAATTGTACGTTCATAAAAATAAAATAAAACCAGAAAAACGTCCCCATAACATAAGGGATCTAAAGAAACCTCTTCGTAGTGTCAACATTACAGACGCACATTCACAGCGCGGCTGATGCGAGAGAAACTCGGCAGGGTCACAGCTCCCTCCTCCACTCTGCTTCCACGTTCACGTCACCACCTGCAAGGAAATGGAACAGAATGGATTTGTGCTCTTACCAGAAGAACAGGCCGTACACATTTTATGACCACCACCGCTCCTTCTCCTCAAAGAGCATAAACCGTGACGCAAAATCTGGTCATCCTCGTAGCGGCTTTTGGATAGCCATCGAACAAAGACGGTCACTGCATCGCACGCTTTCAGATGTGCTTCTGCGGCCGTCTGGAACGCTCTTCCTTCCTATATTAGAAAGCCACTGGAGCTATGCACTTTTAAATCTGAATAACAAACTAATTTCTTTAAAACTGCATTTTCTGTTGAGTTTGTTGTCCTTCCCCTGCACCTGCGATTAGCATGGTTGGCTTCATAAGGTGTGAAAGAAGTTCAACATACATACATACGAAGTTCTTGGAGAGGGTGATCAGTTTAAGTGATTATTTCCAAATGTTTTAGTCTAACTGTCCTGTACGTGTCACGTAAGAAGAGTCCATTTCCAAGCGGAAGTCTCCCAAGTGAGCCATACGTCACCCCGTGTCAACGAGTGGCACTGGACGGCATCGCAGAACTTGTACTTCTCATTGTTACTACTTTATTGCTTGTCAAGTTACTTCAAGATACCTCTTATTCACATTCATGGCTCTCGATTTGCTCTGGAGAAGAACCGTGGCCTTGAACCGTTTGTAAATTATGGAAAGCAGCCCCAACCACACGTTAAAACAGGAGATTGGTCGCAAAACTGCAAGGCATAATGCAGTGACGTAATGCATTTTTGTCATGAGCCCAAGTAATCAACATTAGGCGTCCCTAGAACAACTGCAACATTTTAACCAAGTCACCGGGAGGCACAATGCTCAGAGGTGCTCATTCTGGGCCGACACACAAATTGTGTGGAGCCTCGGCATCTTCTAAACGTGCCACATGCCCCCATCATCTCCGTGCGAAAATATGGCTCTAACCGTCTTCACACAGGGTATGGCCCTGTGCGTGCTCGCAGCTGGCTGCAAACCGTCACGACGGTGGAGAGGACGAGAAGACGGACAAGGGGAGAGCAAGGTGACAGTGGGTGACAGAGGGGGGGCGCCTTGCACTGGGAGGGGGCAGGCCTGGTGGTGTCGGCATGCTAGAGAAGAAGAAGTTCCAGACAACGGGGGAAGAGAAGGAGCGGCCGCTGAGCTGAAGCTGACATAGGGTAGGAGGGGGCACTGGTGTCTGGAGTGGGCATCAGAGGGAGCCACGTAGGGAGCGATGAGCTCAAAGAGATGCAAGGGGGCAAGGTCCTGGAGGACATTCCTAACGACACGGAGAGCGCCGTCGCCCGGCTACAGGTGCAGTGGCAGCCATTGGACACATCACGATTCACACCGCTCACTATGGCTGTCACGATTCACACCGCTCACTATGGCTGTCACGATTCACACCGCTCGCTATGGAAGCGTCACGATTCACACCGCTCACTATGGAAGCGTCACGATTCACACCGCTCACTATGGCTGTCACAATTCACACCGCTCGCTATGGAAGCGTCACGATTCACACCACTCACTATGGCTGTCACGATTCACACCGCTCACTATGGAAGCGTCACGATTCACACCGCTCACTATGGCTGTCACGATTCACGCCGCTCACTATGGAAGCGTCACGATTCACACCGCTCACTATGGCTGTCACGAGTCGTGTTGAGAATAAACTCCTAGGGTGAGTATAGCCCCTCTAGCGGCTGCAGCAGTCACGTTAACTGATTGCACACAACTTATACGAACTTAAAATAATCGATTCTTACACGCACGGCTCAACGGATGTATTATGAGCACAAGAATCTATTTTACCCGATGAATCGATGCATCATTACTCCCAAGGATGGGAGTGATGGAGTCACATGACTGTCTACAGGGTTCTACAAACAAGAATGAGTACTGCAGTGAGCAGAGGAGGCCACGCAAGTTACCTTTGATGCCATTGGAAGCACCGGCGTCAACTCCACCGTCCATCTCGTCCAGGTCTTCGTCCTCCTCGCGGATGTCGACTCCCATGAAGCCTCCCCGTGAGCGGCAGTAGTTGATGAAACTAGGACAAGGAAGAAAAATCACGCTCATGCGTGCATTCTCAACATGCCTTTGTGCTCAGAATCATACGTCGTAAAAATAACGGCGTATTACCTGCTGCGTGACGTGGAGCCGAAACATGGACGTTACCAAAGCAAATACGAAGGGTGCAGAGATGGTAAATGATAAGCAAGCAATGGTGGAAAGATGCACGCTTGGAATTACAATGATGGACAGAGGGAGGAATTCGTGGATTAGAGAACACATGTAAAGTTATAGGCATCACTTTGATATTCATGCAGCAGTGGATAGAGAATGATGAACATTATAAAAGCATGGAGAGATGAATGCTTGCAGCCTCCAACTCTTATCCACCCTGTTTCTGTCGCCTGTCATGTGTTTTTTTTTTTTACAAATGTAGTTTTTTCCTTATTTTAAATAAACTATTTAACTATTTTTATTTTGCCAGGAAAGACCCATTGAGCTGGCCACAAATGATAGCTCAATGAAGTCGCTTTTCCGGTGTAAATTTATAGCATCCAAATAATCTTAATGCACGTTTCTAAATTTGGAGGTAAAAATTGAGCCGATGGATACGAAAGAGGACGGACGAAGCTTTCAGCGACGCGTGGGTTGAGGAGGCGACTCACATCAGGTAGCAGCATCAATAAAACAAAAAGTCGTGACGTATTAGTGAAACGACGCTCAAGGGGGAGGAGACGTAAATAGGGGTATTACTGTATATGGGATATAATAGGGTTGTGTATAAGGTGTTATTGTGGGCTTTGCTTTTTGGGTGTCTCGTAGAGAGGTAACGGTGATATCCGAGGCTAGTACGTTACATTCAAAAGAAGGCTACATCCACCAAAAATGTCAGATTTTTGTTAATTGGTCAGAAACAACTTTTAAAACTATACTCTTTGGTTCTTTCGGTAAAGTCACGTAGGTATAAAATAAAATAAATCATGACGTTTCGGGCGCAACACAAGCGTCCGTCATCACGTCCGTCATCAGGTGATGATGGACGCTTGTGTTGCGCCCGAAACGTGATTTATTTTATTTTATGCCTACGTGACTTCACCAAAAAAAACAAAGAGTATGGATTCCTGCAGTCACGAAAGCTTCAAATCAAGATTAACTTGTAAAACTACTTCCATCTCTTGCGACTCGTGGTGTCCTGCGTCTCAAATGCAGCCCCCACCTCTCCCAGTTGGGGTCCTTGGAGAGCGTGATGGGGTTGCCGATTACCACCAGCAGGGCTTTGGCTCGGGTCAGCGCGACGTTAAACCTCTGTTGGAGAAACCGGTGGCACCCACAAAGACAACACTTAGCTCAGGCACAATAACGCTTTTCAGGTTGAGCAGGGCCCTATCGTTCAGACAAGAGTGCCTTTACCAATGACGTTCGGTAACCCAGCAACATGCATTGAACAAGCCTGACTGCTGATGAGGCCCAGCAGGTTGAAACCAGGCCAGATTTTGCTTGCTTAAACAAATGCTGCTGGATAAAATTTGGTCTGGAAGTTTAAAAGGCTGATGACAATAACATCGTATTTGTGTGGGCAGCCACAGATCAGAGTGATGTTTAATCACATTGTTACCCATAATACTCTACAATGATGCATAATAAGTCGGGAAAAGAACACTGCTGACAAACTAATACAAGGAGAGTTTAACTTCACTTGACAAACATTCAATAGAGATATTTGCATTTGTGTTTAAATATGAATTATAGCAATTGTAAAAGGCATATGTGGTGCCATCACCCGCCTATGCAAACTACCTATAGAGGATTGAGTACCTGGTGCAGGATGGTGTCCAGTTAGCATAGATTTCGATTCTGAATGTCAACGTTGCCAAAAAAAAACCTTTTATAACATACTCCGTCCATAATAAATCACGACGTTCCGGGCGCTTGTGTTGCGCCCGAAACGTCGTGATTTATTTTGTTTTATTTTATACCTACGTGACTTTACCGAAAGAAGCAAAGAGTATGGATTCCTGCAGTCACGAAAGCTTCAAATCAAGTATGGAATCAAGTTATTTCAAGCTATCAGCTCACTGATTACACCCACAGAATGGCCTCTTGGTCAGCATCATGAACTACCACTGCATCTCCTGATGATTACAACTTTTCACTACTAATTAAACGTCTTCTTCAACAGTGGCATCTGGCTCAAAAGCGGGCAGCTGGGGTCACCTTCGGATTCCGAAGGAAGCCAAGTCCAAACTTTTCATCGAAGGACAGGAAGCTCATGTCGCTGCGGACCGTCGAGATGATGATGACCGTGCGCTCCTGCCCCTGGAATTCCTCCACCGAGCCGACCTGGGATCGGCACACGTCACAGCCCACCGATCGATCACCGCCAACGAGCAGATACCGGCACAGCACAAACCGTCCGCCACCGCCACGGAGCCCCACAAGTGGAGAGAGCACAAGCCGGGGTCACCTGACAAGTTCCACGGATACAGGTTTTCTGACCCGCCCCTGCTGGAGATCTGTGAAAAAGAGCTTCATAGCTCATCGTATTCTTCCTGCAGTCCAAATAAAGATTTTGATTCTCATCATAACTTTGTTTACCCAATCCCAAACCCACATTTTCGAAAATTATTTTCTGTTTTTGTGGATAACTTTGGCTGAAGTGTCTCTCCTTGCCCGACACAATTTCTACTTTGTGTATCTTGGCTCTTTCTTTGTGTAATGCCATTGTAGCCTTTCCCTAAATATACATGTTGTTGTTGTTAATTTCTAAATCTAGATTAGGGGGTCTTGGATTGTCGGGACTTGGATGGCCACATCAATTTCCACCAAATTAAATACCTTATGGTCGACAAAGGCCAGGCATACAAAGATTTTCAAAATACCACTTGGCATAATCAGTGTGCATATATTCTTAGAGGCATCCATTCTCATGTGCTATGCAATGCATGAATCGTGAGCTTAAAAACACATTTTCATGATTTAATTGACAAATCTTTACCTAGATTATACTGCCCCGTTATCATTGCACAGGCCCATATATATAATAAATATGACTAACTATTGTTGATCACCATTTTTATGCGAAGGCTGCATCGCTGGCAGCCTGTGCTCAATGCTAACAACCAAGCTGGCTGGGAAGACACGTCAAATCCTGCACAGCAAAATCAGACGAGTCAGCATTGCTTCCCACCTTCAGCTCACGGATATCCTTCAGCTTTTTCAGCTCTTTATCAACTTCTGTGATGGCCTTCCTTATTTTTTGGACCTGTTGGCACACAAGAACACGTTTTACTCACACAAGTGCTGGATTTAATGAGAGTGTATTCATATTATTAGAGGGGTCGCCACTGGAGTAGAAGCAGAGAAGACAGCAGCGTAGAGTCCAGTTATTAGCAGAGCCATCCCTAGGGTGTATGGCAAATTGGGGCGACCACCCCGGGCCCCGTGCTTTGGGGGGCCCCACGCTTCGACGTCACAATATTCGATGTGAGACTTCTGGTTTAGTTTGAAGGTGTCGGGGCGCCCACACGGTGGGGTTTGCCCCGGGCCCCTCCTATAGAGGGCCCTGCTCATTGGAGATCTACACCTGAGTGCCATCACCATAGACATAGGGCTCAATTTGAATGCTGAGTCTGCCAAGTGGCAGACTATGGAAAAGAGCATAGGACAAGCATCGTTGCAGTGGGTGCAATAGCCATCATAATACGCGCCGTCTGCTTAGAATTGGATGGTAAATATACCCTGATGTTATTCGCACAGTAGGCCATTGTGTACAGGTGAGAGGGTCCTGATTTTCCGATTTTCAAAAAAATACCCACAAATTACTTAAATGAGTTTACACACAGCACTCATCATCCCCTCCGAGCAGAATAACACCCCGATCACTCGCGCTCATGAGACTGTCCTGGCCTCTTGAGTCCTCACCTGGATCACCAAACAAACTTGAAACTCACACGTGCAGCTGGGAGCTTTGTGGAATGGGACAGATGACAGATTTGAGCGAGGGAATAGATAAGGTGAGGAGCGAAGGAGGGAGTAGGGGGGCGTGGAGTATGGGGGAGGGGGACGAAAGAGCACCAGACTCGTAGGTGCCGCCTTGGGTGACAATTGCTATAGTGCTTCCAATTATATGGCCAATGCCAGTGAATTATGCGATAACCATTTGAAATTAGTGGTGTTCATATCAAATAATTTGCTCTTATTAGCCATACATTCTCTCTTATAAGCCATACACCTCTGATTAGCACACTTGGCTATGTATGGCGCGAAATAGTTCAACATACATGCATGCATTGGTACGACTCAAGTTTTGCTACCTTAGGTGGCACTGATTTCTGCTCTGGCTCATGGAGTACGAAACCCGATGCAGTTGTGCTGACTTTCTAAGCTGCTATCGAGCAGCACCGCACAGAGACGCACCTGCTTACGGTACGGCGCAATGATTCCAATGTCCTTGGGTGAGACCTTGGCGATGCCCTTCTTGCCACTAGATTCCAGGATCTTCGTGAGGTACGACACCACCTCTTCCACTTCGGCCACATTGAAGAACGATGGGCTGTTCTCCTCGCGCGTGTCCTGGCCGATGACCGAGTGGAAGATCACGGGGAAGCCCTGGAAACACGAAGGCAAATGGTAAATTCGGTGACTGAGCAGAATGGTGCCCAGAGCGACACCTTGCGTCACGAGCGGCCATGACGATGGACAGGCAAGCACGGGACGTTGTTCAAATTTGAATCTTGTTTCCAAATGTGCTTAGGATCGTGATTAAATTAATGTTATCCACGGCAACGTTCGGGCATGGAGTTGGAGATACGAGCTCCAAGATGGCGGGATGTTACCCGTGCGACTTGCGGGGGTACAACGCGAGGTTCTACAAATCCACAAAGCTTTCAGGGATCATCAGGTTTGGTAAAACAATCCCCGTGACCGACGCAGCATGGGTAAGGCCTCCGTCCAGCAGTGCGCTCGCACAGGAAGGGCCGTGCGTTGCTCTGATCGTGGTTATTTTCCCGGGGAGCCGCGCTGTTGGGGGGCGACCGCTCGCGCACCTTGGTCGGCAGGTGCTCCCACTGGCAGAAGTTGTTCCTCTTGAGCTCGTCAGCGCACACCTGCAACTCGCCCTCGTAGAACAGCGCGTTGGGAAGCTCCAGGATGGCGGGATGTGACCTACGCGGGTTGCGACAACGGAGTCCGTGAAGCCGCTCGCTCTCCAAAACAAAAGCGGTGACCACGACACGCGGCTGCTTAAGTGGCCGCAGCGTTGGCGGCGTGGGAGAGCCGAGTGCCGCCGCCCATTGCGGACCAACCTCGTGATGTACCCGCGTTAACTCGCAGCTTCTGCTAGGCTGTTTTATAATTACGTGGGCATCTTTGATTGTATAGATCTCTATTCCAAAAGCTGTCCGAGTATCCAAATGACACAAACACATGTTCTCGTATACGTTGACACAAAGAGACTATGCGGTCTGGACATGAGCAGACACGTTCGCCTGAACAAGTACCGCTGTGGTGTTGAACCAAAAGCCAGCAATCCGCCTCTCAGCACCTGTAGTTGTTGAGCAGCTTGGTGACAAATGAATGGTTGAAAGAGCCACCAGACTTCTGGTAGAGGGGGTTCTCCATCATGAGCCGCTCTATGAGGGACCTGTCTGTAGAATGAGAAGTGGAGGGGGGTGACGTGCGCACGCATTTGCTTTGTGCTGCTAACGACAGTGCATAGATAGAAAGAAAAATCGCGTCGTGTATTCAACACTAAACGAGACTTATTGCCATGTTGTTATTATTGTATGAGAATTACACGTTTTTCAAAATCAGTTGATTTTATGATCAAATCACCTAGAATGTGTCCAACCTCATCAGAGGCTAAACAGGGATGAACCTAGAGAGTTGTAGAATAGGCAACCGCTGTGCATGAAACACGGGTCGATAGCCCGCTGTAAAGGCCTTGATCCACTAGCCAATATCGGGGCTCATACTCTTTGGTTCTATTGGGTAAAGTCACGTAGGTAAAAAATAAAATAACAAAAATCACGACGTTTCGGCCACAACACAAGCGGCCTTCATCAGTCTCGTCCCTTCACCTGATGAAGGCCGCTTGTGTTGTGGCCGAAACGTCGTAATTTTTGTTATTTTATTTTTTACCTAAGTGACTTTACCCAATAGAACCAAAGAGTATGGATCCTTGCAGTCACGAAAGCTTTAAATCTAGAATATCAGGGCTATCGTTGCCGGCAATCATGACTAGCAATGGTTGCCTCAGCATTTATCATTTTGTAAAAATCTCCCTGGCTCAAACTCTAAACAATTCCGATTCAACTTCCAATCAGATGTGAGGGGTCACACCGACCGCCTGGCCACGTCAACGCTTTCAGGGGTGCAGGGCAGAGGGGCTCACTCAGGTGGTGTTTAATGGCGAGGGGAGAGCGGATGATCGGCCCCAGCTGCTTGGGGTCTCCGGCCAGAACGAGCTGCCCTCCGTCTTGGTTCACTTGCGACGGCGGCCTCAGCAGCCCTGGGTGTCAAATAGCGGCACACAGAGCTCCACTTGCTCAGACCTCGGTCCGCACGAGCATCAGCGAGTCAGCAAACACACATCGCTAACTTACACTGGACCACACTGCACCACCAGACCACACTGCACCACCGGACCACACTGCACGACCGGATCACGCTGCACCACCGGACCACACTGCACCACCAGACCACACTGCACCACCGGACCACACTGCACCACCGGATCACGCTGCACCACCGGATCACGCTGCACCACCGGACCACGCTGCACCACCAGACCACGCTGCACCACCGGACCACGCTGCACCACCGGACCACGCTGCACCACCGGACCATGCTGCACCACCGGACCATGCTGCACCACCGGACCACGCTGCACCACCAGACCACACTGCACCACCGGACCACGCTGCACCACCGGACCACGCTGCACAACCGGACCACACTGCACCACCGGACCACGCTGCACCATCAGGCCACGCTGCACCACCAGACCACACTGCACCACAAGTGAACGTGGAGGGTGCGAGATTTTCCACTCACCCGCGACAGCCACCAGGCACTCTGGCTCCACGGCCTGGCCCGCCTCGTCCACGAAGATGTGCGAGAAGTGGCCTTCATGAAAGCTGGCCGACACCAACCTGGGAGCAGGGCACCCACATTGAAGGTTTAATATGACCGCCTCCTTAAGCAATGTCCGAGTGCAGCTTAATCACCGACCTTTGCTCATATCCGTAAATCTACTCCCACCTGGAAAAACCATCTCCAACTCCAGTGGCTACCCTCACGTCGATGCCGATTGCACTCGGCTTTACACACCCACGGACGTCTGAGTGAAGCGGGACTCTAAACCTTGCACGGGCCTATACCAAGTCGACTCAACTTCAGAGGAGTTCTTGCTGTGGTGTGTAAACATTAGCTCTATATGGAGATCTTTGCCTTTGAAGTGTGTGTGTGCATCACCATCATCACCATCATCACCGATTCAACACTGATTGCACTGTTTGTGCCACCAGCGATGAGACGCATGTGTAAATGTGTGTTGGTATATCAGATGAACCGGATCCTGATTGGCCGGCTCTGTCGATGGGTGGCGCTCGGACAATGCCTTCCGTAACAGTCCATAATTAAATGTTAATTAATTGGTTAATGATATTCACTTTGTACAACAGCAAAAATAAGTATATGTGTCCAATAGGACCAAATGGCTTAAAATCACTGCAATATTTTCAACATATAGAAATTAATACCTGGAATTTTTTTTGATCAAGTGCTATGGGTGTTCCGAGAGGTATAATTTATATTCGTGAACATCTTATTATGCATTGTAGTATTTATAACATACCAAAAAACACATCGTACCTTCCAGCAGTGATCAGTGTTGTGACCATAACTTTGTACGTCATGAGGTCTTCCTTTTTAGGGTAGCAAAAACGCTTTTGTTCGCTGTCCCAGTTGGAACACTCCTGCAAGCACGTAATAGACACGTTACGTGGGACACACAGCGGATATACCCCAAGATACACGCAACTTGTATTACAACTCTCCTGTTGTATTCCGCTTAGCGGTACCAACTGTGTGTGTATCTCTTGTTGCATTTAAAAGTCTCCTCTCAATTCACTCCCTCCTGCAATAGGGTGCAGCATGCATGCATGCGTCTCTGTGAGTTACCGTGCACACTGTAGTCAGAGCACCGACTCCAATAAACATCCATTTAAAAAGCATGCTTCTGCCCTTACAATGGCAAACTCTAGAGCAGCATCTTCTTTGGTTCTTTCGGTAAAGTCACGTAGAATGAGGATAAAATAATAAATTTATAAAATAACACAATAAAATTCTAACGACGTTTCGGCCACAACACAAGTGGCCTTCTTCAGGTGAAAGGAACAGACCTGTCGGGACGACAGAGCTTCATTTAATTTTATTGTGTTATTTTATTTTATTAATTTATTATTTTATTCTCATTCTACGTGACTTTACCGAAAGAACCAAAGAAGATGAATCCTTGCAGTCACGAAAGCTTTAAATCGAAATCTAAAGCAGCATATTGGATGGTACGGAGAACCACTGTGTGTGTGATGTGCGGCTAAGTGAATGCATGTTACATGAACTGAGCGACCAACACAACCTGGGGAGGCATTCATCCAGTAGTGGATTGACTCAGGGGACGTAACATTATTGTGCTTATTAATTTCATACTACCCGTGGAAAAAGACCAATACCTTCACAGCACTGGGGATCGAATTCCAGTCGCGGCTGTAAGCGTTGAGGCGGTAGATGTTGTTTTTGCCAATTTCAGGAATCAACAGCTGGCAGATGAGATCAGCGGCACTGTTGGAGGGAGCACAGGCCAACACGTGCGCCCCAGGAATGCACTTTACCACCTGCGTCAGACACACACAGCACAGGCATCACCTGTGTGATTAGTGTATCAGATGCACACACAGCACAGGCATCACTTGTGTGATTAGTGTATCAAATACACACACAGCGCAGGCATCACTTGTGTGATTATTGTATCAGATACACACACAGCACAGGCATCACCTGTGTGATTAGTGTATCAGATGCACACACAGCACAGGCATCACCTGTGTGATTAGTGTATCAGATACACACACAGCACAGGCATCACCTGTGTGATTAGTGTATCAGATGCACACACAGCACAGGCATCACCTGTGTGATTAGTGTATCAGATACACACACAGCGCAGGCATCACTTGTGTGATTAGTGTATCAGATACACACAGCACAGGCATCACCTGTGTGATTAGTGTATCAGATGCACACACAGCACAGGCATCACTTGTGTGATTAGTGTATCAGATACACACACAGCGCAGGCATCACTTGTGTGATTAGTGTATCAGATACACACACAGCACAGGCATCACCTGTGTGATTAGTGTATCAGATGCACACACAGCACAGGCATCACCTGTGTGATTAGTGTATCAGATACACACACAGCGCAGGCATCACTTGTGTGATTAGTGTATCAGATACACACACAGCGCAGGCCTCACCTGTGTGATTAGTGTATCAGATACACACACAGCACAGGCCTCACCTGTGTGATTAGTGTATCAGATACACACACAGCACAGGCCTCACCTGTGTGATGACTAAACACAGCAGGGGGGCCTACTCACATCAATGACATGAATTATTGAATGGAGCCAACGAACGAAAAGCAGCGATTGCAATGCTGGGGATGCCCTTTATGGAAAATATTTTGGGCATCATTCCACCACTTTTTTTAATCCGTATCACACCCAAAGCCTCACCCATTCCTCCATCTTTCAGGCGGCCATTGCTGAACAGCCTAAAAGTGGGCGAGGCTTAGTGCAGGGTGAGGGTGGAGCCAACACTGATGAAACGTTTCTGCGCATGATGCGGAAACGTTGCACCGTAGCCCAGAACCGCATCAATGGAGTTCAATTGCCGGCCAGGGCTAACGTGTGTGGGGAGTGACATCTGAACCAGTGCTGAACGTCAACTTCACTAACCCGTTCTGACCAGCGTGGTGAAGTATGGTCAAACAACCCCCTTGACCGACACGGTGTAGGGAATCCTTAATCCAGCAGTGGGCTGACCAAGAGCATAGAATATCATTATAATTTGAAAGCTTTCATCAAAACCCGCGAATATGAAAGTAAGTAGGTTACGCACGTCTTTGTGTACAAATGAATGTTGAACTTCTCTCGCACCGTACATAGCCAACCGTGCAAATTAGAGGTACGGGGGAAGGATAACACCACTAAAAATAAAAAGCAGCTCTAAAGAAATGCGTTTTCAATCGAGAAATTGAACTGAAATTGTGAACTGCGTGTGGGCTGGGTGGGTGGGTCTCCCGCACTGACCTGACGGATGGATTCCACCAGAGTCACCGTCTTGCCGGTCCCTGGAGGCCCGAAGATGAGGTACGGCGCAGGGCGTGAGATTCCAGACACGATGTTTTGCACGGCGCGATACTGCTCCGGGTTCTCGGACAGGATGCGGTTGTACAGCCTGGGTCACAACAAGGGGGGACTCGGCCGTCAGCGCCTTCCCCAGCAAGCCTGATGCATCTATACAAGCTATTATTTCATTTTCACCAGGTAAGGCTCACTGAGTTACATAGCTCTTTTTGAGAAGCAGCCTGGCCACAAATGAAAGCTCAACGTTGTGGCTTATCACGTGGAAATTTACAGCAGCAAAATACTCTGAACGCATGTCAATTATAAATGTGGTGGGAAAAACCGGAGGACCGGGAGAAAAATCCACGCGACCACGGGGAGAACATGCAAACTACACCTATACAGGCGTCAAGGGTTGGGATCGAATCCACAACCTCCTGTATACCAGGCGAAGTAGTTAACATCTCACCACCGTGGCGCTGCCACATCGGCTGTGTTATTGATGGACGCGTGGGGTCTTTTTGGGTTGCTCTGGCTCAAGAGATACGGCTGAAAGTGGCGCTTAACTTGAGCCGGGTCTCAGTGATGCTCAACATTTCCATAGAGCCGAGACTGAGCCAAGCCACAGCAGAGCCACTCACTCGAGGGTCCCTGGAAGTAACTGAGTGGCTCCATCCTGAGCTGGGCCACATTACAGGCCAAGCCAGGACCTCAGCACGACTGGAAATGGACTGTAGGCAAGTCTCGCAGTCAACGCCGTCACCAACAAAGGTCACCGCGCACCGCTTACACGAGTTGTGAGCTGGGATCCTGTATCGTCATGTCGTAGGAGCCTGTAGGGAACAAGACGTGCTCGAAGGTCGGGTTCGCCACCGCCTGGTCCACGGCACGGTGCTGCAGTTTCAGTGGCGTCCGGTTGATCGTGAATATCACATCGAACTTCATGTTCTTCACAAATAGCTTCAAGAACCTACGGTTGCCGCACGAAACAGGCACACACGAAAAAATTACTGTGGTCACTGAAAAGTCAGAGGACAACCTTTGAGATAAGGATTAAAAATACAAGAGGGTCACTCGCGCCCCCCGCTGCCCCGGCATCCCCCCCCTCCCCCGCCCCTGCCACCCAACTCGCCCCGGTGTGCGACGTGTACGCGTGCGGTGTGCGCGCGTATGCTGCCGTCATCGTCGTTTGTAGTTGTTCCTCCTGGTTTCTCTTGTTGAATGCAAACACTGAAACGATCCCCTGCCCTCCCGGTGCCACAGCAGAAGTGACCGCTTCAGGCATTCCATGCTGATCTCTCGGGTCACTGGATGTGCAACGCGTTGAGAGAGACCCTGGCTTGTTCATTAATCAATGCTCGCAGCTGTGTGCTGTAAACGCCTGTACGCTTATAAAACGGACTGCATCGAGAGCCATGTCAAGTCGGATTGGGGTGGAGTGGTTCACGCACCGAGCTGTATGAACCCGGTTATCCGAGTTCGATTCCCAACCCTAACTGACATCTTCAGTGAGTGATATCAGAACTGGTCCTGGACTGGACTGACCAGCATGGTGAACTATGGCCAAACAATAACCCATGACGGACATGGCGTGGGCAGGTTGACAAAGGGCTGCACATTACTCGTCACCATTGTCAGCCTTCATCAATCTACTGCTGAATGACGGCCTCCCCAAGCCGTCACCATCTCCCACGGTTCTACGGTGTAACAATCCACCCAGCACCTGCACCCACGGGCTGATTTCATTGCTCCATCTCCTCGGTGGACATACTCTCGCACAGAGAGCTTCATTCCTCAGCTGCCACTCCATTAACATTCTTGACCATCGTCCATCCTCCCTGCTATCGACACGACCTCCCCTAGCCCACTTACTTTCCTCCTTCATAGTTTACGTGACGTCATTCACCTGTGTACGTCCTATTTTTACTATTTTTATGTTACCAGAAAAGGCCCACTTCGCTATATATAGCTCTTTTTTCAGAAGCGACCTTTATAAATGTGTAGTGACACAGCGCCGACTGTTGTCCAGCAGCGGCAACTGTGGTGGACACTCACGCTGCCGAGCGCACACACGGGGTGCGTGCCGGCAGGGCGGACGACAAGGGTCACGGAAGACCTCATCGGGAAGCCCCAGCGTGGTGAATGCAGCGCAGGTGTCACGACGCAGCGACCCGATGCACCCCGAGGGTGGTCAATGCAGCGCAGGTGTAACGATGCAGTGACCCGATGCACCCCCAGGGTGGTCAATGCAGCGCAGGTGTAACGATGCAGTGACCCGATGCACCCCCAGGGTGGTCAATGCAGCGCAGGTGTCACGACGCAGTGACCCGATGCACCCCAAGCGTGGTGAATACAGCGCAGGTGTAACGACGCAGCGACCCGCTGCGCAGTGAAGCCGTGGATCTTACGAGGAGGAGAATCCGAGGGAGATGTCCTCCAGATGCACCCCGTGCACGAAGCCCGTGAAGTCCACGCAGTCGTCGGCGCTGCGCCGTGCGCTCTCGCTCACCACCAGCTTGTCTCCCCGCAGCACCGAGGGGCGGCTCTCCGCCACGCCCGGCACCTGCGGCGGGGATCACGCCGAGCGTCAGCATCGTCGGCGCCCGGGCCGCCTCGCTCATGCGGTCCCCGGGGGCCCTCCGCCGTCAGGGCGAGGGCCTCCCCATGGCCATGTGGAGTTAAAAACTAAAATGATAAACTACTGAGCTATGATAGCCAAACAAAGTGGTTCGTCGTGTGGAAATTTACATCAGCCAAATACTCGAAACGCGTCATGTCAATGCTACACGTAGAGAGAAAACCGCAGGACCCGGAGAAAAATCCACGCGACCACAGGGAGAGACACGCAAACTCCAAATATACAGCAGGCGTCAGGGATGGGATCGAGCCCACGACCTCCTGTATACCTGGCGAGGTAGTTATCATCTCGCCACCAAGGTACGTGACCGTGTACCTCGCCTCTGCTTCCCACCATGTATCCCCGTAGCCATCAATAACCACCTGTCATGCATGGCGGTCACCTGTCCATGCACTTAGCCAGGTTCGAGCCTGCCGAGCTTCAGATATCTGACGAGATCGGGTAAACTCTGGGCGATTTGGTCAGAGGAAATTTCACCTTGACTGAGATATTTACAAAAATCGTAACTCAGCTTTGTGGAAATAAATGCTGCAGTTGTCGTGCAAATAGTGCATTTTAGTGTAGTTGTTGTCTTGGTTACTGCTTACTCTTAACTTTAGAAGTTTTCTGTTGTTGAGATCAGGCTCCATGATTTGGTCTTCCAAGTCATATACCCTGATATCGGACCTCATTTGCAATTCATCCAAGTGAAGCAGATGATGAAACTTCTTCTTGTAATTCAAAAATGTCAGCGGAGCTTCAAGCCATTTCCTAAAACCAAAACAAGATTCAATGCATTGCACAGTAAAAAAATCAAACGCTCTAAAATGATCGGACTTTTAGTATCGTTATTTCCTAGCCGTCTCTGCGTACTCACATACGACACTGATGAACATGTGGTTGAAACGTCACAATCAACAATGGGAATATGAAAACAGCAAAAAAAGTAAAAAGTAGAACCATATATCGCATCATACAGACACAAGTATGAAACCAGTTGAAAACGTGTTTTAAACAGATCTCATAGGAAAAAAAGTGTATACGTCAGGAAATGAGACGAGATTGCAGAGGAGAAGATGACAGATATCTCATTTGGAGGCAGGAGGGACTCCGTTAAGCTGGGGCCCCAATATTTGTATTCTTTTGCATAATTAAAAATACCCAACAAATTAAGGAAATTACTGAAACTAGCCACTTGGTTCAAGTAATAATCATGCAAATCGTTACACCGCAGCTCTTAAAAATGTATTTTTACAAAAAAATTAAGTTAATCTTTTTAAAAAAAATCTATTGTCTGTGCGTGCGTAAGTGCAACTTTGAATAAACTTCATAAAAAAATCACTCTCGAGTGGTGGTGGTGTCTTGCGAGCGGCGTATTGTGGGAGTCGGATACCAGGTTTTTGGCGAGCGAGTAGCAGTGGTGTCAGGTGAGTGGTGAGTATCTGGTGGCAATGTGAGGTGGCGAGTCATATCCAGGTGCCTGGCGAGTATTGAGAGTGGCCTACAGAGGAGCAGTGGTGCTCATGGGGAAGACACCGGTGAGGGGAGACCTGGTGAGAGAAGGGGCCTGAGCTGATGGGGAAGGTAGCCCTGTCTGTAGGATGGACTGCCCTCTAGTTTACAATAAAAAGCATTTCTCTTTTCAGTGAGACACCATCTGACCTTATTCCGTGCCATTTTCATAATTTGCTTTTGTCTTTTGCCCCACACCTAGGTGGTGAATTTCACTCAAAATGACCACAACAAAAACGAAGCCTTTCATCTAACGAGTGAAACAAAGTAATAAAAAATGCTTTAAAGTCCGGGTAAAGGGAAATTAGCTCAAAATGAAAGTTATGTGCAGCAAGTTCACCCAACAAATTTAAGTCAGGTGGAGCAAGTTCACCCATCAAATGAAAGTCACGAGCAGCAAGTTCACCCATCAAATGAAAGTCACGAGCAGCAAATTCACCCAACAAATGAAAGTCAGGTGCAGCAAGTTCACCCAACAAATTAAAGTCACGAGCAACAAGTTCACCCATCAAATGAAAGTCAGGTGCAGCAAGTTCACCCAACAAATGAAAGTCAGTTGCAGCAAGTTCACCCAACAAATGAAGTCATGTGCAGCAAGTTCACCCAACAAATGAAAGTCAGGTGGAGCAAGTTCACCCAACAAATGAAAGTCAGGTGCAGCAAGTTCACCCAACAAATGAAAGTCAGGTGCAGCAAGTTCACCCAACAAATGAAAGTCACGTGCAGCAAGTTCACCCAACAAATGAAAGTCACGTGCAGCAAGTTCACCCAACAAATGAAAGTCAGGTGCAGCAAGTTCACCCAACAAATGAAAGTCAGGTGCAGCAAGTTCACCCGACAAATTAAAGTCAGGTGCAGCAAGTTCACCCAACAAATGAAAGTCAGGTGCAGCAAGTTCACCCAACAAATGAAAGTCAGGTGGAGCAAGTTCACCCAACAAATGAAAGTCAGGTGCAGCAAGTTCACCCAACAAATTAAAGTCACGAGCAACAAGTTCACCCATCAAATGAAAGTCAGGTGCAGCAAGTTCACCCAACAAATGAAAGTCAGTTGCAGCAAGTTCACCCAACAAATGAAGTCAGGTGCAGCAAGTTCACCCAACAAATGAAAGTCAGGTGGAGCAAGTTCACCCAACAAATGAAAGTCAGGTGCAGCAAGTTCACCCAACAAATGAAAGTCAGGTGCAGCAAGTTCACCCAACAAATGAAAGTCACGTGCAGCAAGTTCACCCAACAAATGAAAGTCACGTGCAGCAAGTTCACCCAACAAATGAAAGTCAGGTGCAGCAAGTTCACCCAACAAATGAAAGTCAGGTGCAGCAAGTTCACCCGACAAATTAAAGTCAGGTGCAGCAAGTTCACCCAACAAATGAAAGTCAGGTGCAGCAAGTTCACCCAACAAATGAAAGTCAGGTGGAGCAAGTTCACCCAACAAATGAAAGTCAGGTGCAGCAAGTTCACCCAACAAATTAAGGAATCTTTTGAAGGGACACAACTGTGATTCAGATAAAGACGCAAGGCAATGATTGAAGGCAGAGACCGGGACCACCTTAGCAATCGAGCGAGCAAGCTGATTTGGGAAAGGTTATTCTGCCATTGACTACACACACACATTATCCATCAGACTCTAGAACAGACAGGTGAATGTAAAACACAATCATGGCTTGTTTATGATGAAAAAGTGTTTGATTCCATGGAAACTGACCCCAACTTTACTGCCTTGTGTTTTTAAAGTTATTTAATAATTTCACGTACTTTTTTTCCATATTCCTATTCATCAACAGATTTGCAGTGATATATATATTTTTTTTAAATATCAAGATCAAAATTTTTTAATAAAGGTGAATGAGAGTAGGATGCAGAGCTTTCGAAAAACTTAATTTGATAATTAAAAGTAGCATACAATTGAGTCTGAAGCAGAATGTTTTAAAACCGTGTGTATCACCCACTATGATATTTGAGTCAAAAACATAACGAGTTACAGAGAAAATGGGACAAAAGTTTCAAAGTGCACGATGATGTGTGGATATACTTGGCTGAAATTAAACCGAGAGACAGGAAGTGGAACACGTGGAGCTGTGAACAATCAACTTAAGAGATATCAGATTGACTTCTAATGGAAGTAATTGGGCTTGGGGGTAACACAATTCGTTGCTAGAACGGCCGATGGCCAATGGCTGCGACTGGTGATGAAATGGCAGCTGAAGGAGAGAGAGCACGAAGGAGATGGCGCAATGAGAGCGGCTCATGCACAGCAGTGAGAGGGACTGTGGCGTAAGGGGACCGTCAGGGATGGTGATGGCAAGCCTTCATCCGGCAGTGGATAGAACATGGCTGATAATGAAGTGCTGCCCCTTCGCCCGCGTGGGTTTGCACCCACGTTCTCCGGGTTTCCTTTCACACGTCTAAACACTCATTATTTGGCCAATAACACATTAATATAATAAGGATCACATAGAAATTGGGGGGAATTTTACACCGGCTCAACCCCCTGGTTGCTCCCTTTTCCCGCTTGTCTATGGTTCCTCTCGACTCTAGAGTGATGACTGTGAGGCGCGCTTCAAGTTGAAATTATTATGATTAAGAAGAAAAGCAATCTACCAATGTTTTTTATTGCAACTTACTTGACCTCTTGAGCCATTGGTGGTGATCTTGAGACCTCACCCTTTGAGTTACAGAAAAACAGATCCAGATCTTTGTTGATAGGATAACTTTCCAGCTTCAGAACCAGCTTCAGGTCAGATTGGTCATCTCTAAAAACATTAAAAACATGAGCTTCAGCAGCAAGATACTGCTTGGCAACTTTGGCTTGTATGGCTTATTGATTTAACTCACAGCCACAGTTTATATCTAACTGAAAATTGCATAAAAACTAACAAAAAAGTGGCATTCCCACAGTTTTGTTATTTTTATGCAAAATATTTTTGCATTCCCACATTTTTGTTATTTCTATGCAATATTTTTTTGCATTAAAACTAACAAAATGTGGGAATGTCACTTTTTGTTAGTTTTTATGCAATTTTCAGGTAAAAAAAAGTGGCATTCCCACATTTTTGTTACGTCAAATGTATAATTTGCAAATAACTGCTGCAATAAACATCTTATCCACACAAGGCCACTCCTATAAATGGCATACAGAGATAATTACTGGCATTTAAATCAAACCTGGTTTCAACTTCTCCAAGTCTCATCATCAGTGTATAGCCCATTACTGGAAAATAGTCCTAAAAGTCTGATTGACAGAATTTTATTTTATTTTAAAATTGATCAATCAAGCAAACCCTTACCTGTCTATTACATCAGGACGATCGCTTCATCAGGACGGTCACTTGTGTCGTGATCGAAACGTCGTATTTTTTTATTTTTATTTTTTCTATCTACGTGACTTTACCGAAAGATCCAAAGAAAATGAATTCCTGCAGTCACGAAAGTTAAGTCAAAATATATTCCATTCTTTGTCTTGTTTGGTGTTCTGACTTTCTAACCTGTCCGACTGGAGATCAGTGAAAAAGAGCTTTAAAGCTCATCGGATTCCTCCTGCAGTCTAAATAAAGATTCCGATTCTGAAATTGCCACTTACACTATGCAAGTGCGTTCTAATTTGTATTTTCACAAATGTCATGGGTTTCTGTGGCGAGTGCCCTTTCAGCTATAACCACCGTAGTTTGGAATAGGAGCCCAGTGTCTGAGACCTGGGCTGCTGTGTACATGCACTTCAAGGCATGTCAACCACAATAACACGTGACTGTCAGCATGTTTAATTGCATTGTGTGCTTCCCCACTGCGGTGTCACCAGAAAACCCGTCAATGAGCCTTCGGCATGAACACCGAACCCTAATAACCACAAAGGTGCCTTGGTGTGGCTCTCAGAGTCTTAAGCCGGGCGGTGGTAGCAATGCACGCCTCGAGTCCAGCAATGTGGAGGCAGCAGCGAGGATTGGTGGGTCGCACAGATGTTGTGAAACTACCTTCCCATGGGCATCGAGGTGGCACACCCTGGCTCTGCCAGGAGAAGGTGGTGCAGAGTGGTGTGGACTCCACCTGTTCCATCTCTATGAAATAGTTGTTGCCTTCTCGCATGCGTGGATTGTCTCCAGGTGTTTCGGTTTCCGGCCACAAGTAAACACTCATTAATTGGCCAACAACGTAAAGTACTTCAGAGCTTTGGGTGGAATTTGGCACGGGCTCACCACCTGACTGCCTTTCCCACCCCTCTGTGGTCCCTCCTCCCCCATCCTGAATGGTTCTCTCTTTTCGAGAGCGAGCGAATACCGGCGTTGTGCATTACAAGCTGACATTATCATGAATGTTATCAATGTCTGGTCTCGCGTGCATTGTGTTATCATAAAATCCTTTGCGCCATTCAGGTTGTCAGCGAGACACAAAACTCTTTGACACCCGTGTACAATGTTCACTGTGCAAGGAAGTTATGTAGTGTGGGCTCACATGTCCGGCTTCACCCCATCCACGGTGAAGCGATTGCGGTAGATGGGAGGTCTCTTTTTGATTGGCTCGTACGGCTTCGTGGGCTGCAGTGCGTTGCTCAGCTCCGATCGTGTCTCCATGGTGATGGAGCGCGCCACGTGGAACGGCACCTCCTCGCCCTCAAACAGAAACTCGAAGACCAGCAGCAGCATGTGGTTGCCGCGAGTTTCTGTGCAAAAGGTCGCGTGCATGCAGCACGGCTCCCCACCTGTAGGTGGACCACACAACACCAGCAAACCAAATCATTGGTGCGCCGTGTATCCGCTCCCGCGCTGTTCATGGGTGTCATGTCAATTGAACATTTATGGTGAATTTCCGGATTTGGAAAATGTGGACCATGACGGCGGTACACAATGGCCCACTCTCTTGGAATTAAGTGACGGGATCTTTAACGTCCGCTGAGAGTCAGGCGGTGCGCAGTTTACAATTAACACATCTTTAATATTACCCATAATACAATTTTAATACCGTATTAAACAATGTGCGAACAAATACAAATCAGCCAAGCACTTCAGTTCCTTAAGTAATACTGCATATGAGAAAGTTAATTCGGTTGACAAGAGATGCCAATCAGAAAATAAAAATATAGCTAAACAAAAAAATTAAAAAAGACCTGCACCCAAATTTTATTTTATCTTTGGTTGTGTTCAGCTAGATGTCTGGTATACTATAGCAGCTACCACAATTGTTAAATTTCGATTTAAAGCTTTCGTGACTGCAGGGATTCATCTTCTTGGTTCTTTCGGTAAAGTCACGTAGAATGGAAATAAAAATTAAACGTAATAAAATAAAATGCTCACGATGTTTCGGCCACAACACAAGTAGCCTTCTTCAGATGAAGAAACAGGTCTGTCCAGAAGACAGAGCTTGAGTGAACACTGTCAAGCAAAGACCGCGTCTTTTAAGCTGCCAAGCTTGGCAGGGTTGACTCAAGCGCTACTTGTGTTGTGGCCGAAACGTCGTGAGAATTTTATTTTATTGATTTATTTTTATTATTTTATTTCCATTCTACGTGACTTTACCGAAAGAACCAAGAACACAATTATGTTTTTTTAATCCAGAAACTAAAGTACAATATAAAGGGTAGGAAAAAAATATGGAATGACTCAGTGGCGGTTAAGCTGTCTTGGTGATGGACTGTATTGCAAAAACAGGGTCAGCTGTTGTTGATGAAGCCCCAAGGTGACAATGAGGTTCAAGTGATGGTGCTGAAACACGAACAGCAACTGGGAAGAAAATAAAATAAACAAAAAACTACGACGTTTCGATCACAACACAAGCGGTCGTCATCACAACACAAGCGCTCGTCATCACAACACAAGCGATCGAAACGTCGTAGTTTTTTTATATTTTTTTTTTATTTTATCTCCATTCTACGTGATTTTACCGAAAGAACCCAGAAGATGAATCCCTGCAGTCACGAAAGCTTTAAATCGAAATACTGCCCATTCTCCAACTATTTAAAGTGTATTCATGACTCGTTACACAGCTGGCTATTGGCTATTGAATGCATCTGCAAATTGCCGGCATAGGGCAGAGTCGTGTTAATTTAGAAAAAAGTTATTAGTGAAAATGTTCTCAGGGTTGGCAGTGGCCGGCAGGTCCACTCAGGTTAGGAGCCACTGGATTCGGTGATACACAAAGAGTACCATTAGAACTGACTGCGAAAACACAAACCGAATTGAAAGTGTAAGTCTCAAAGCCAACAGGACAAGGGTGAGGTTGTGCCTTGCTAGGTTATCAGTGCCGAGGGGGAGAAATGGGAATCAGTATTTAGTCGAAAGGCATTCGCTGCAATAAGTGATAACAATAAGTGGAAGTGCAGTGCTATTATTGAACTGCAGACCACAGCTATGACAAGTACTCCTAATATTCCGGTTAGCTTGGCACACTGTTTTCTACGGCCCACAAGCACAAACCACGTGGAAAAGGACATCCAGGAACAATGTTTACAAAGAAACAGTTTAGGCAAATCGATAAATACCTGCAGGGAGGAATAGGGGTTTGTTGGGCTGGAAGTCGATGTCGCTCGTTAGTGAGAAGCCGGCCATCTTGCGCAATCTATCACAGCGTCTCAGCTGCACACAAGTGGTACCCTGGTTCCTGATTGTGATCGTGACGCTCTTCGTCTCAGTCACGAGCAACTGCTGCTTCACATTACCACGAACAAATGGTGGCTCAGCAGTAATTGAGATCCCATGTTTATCCTCTAGCATCCACGCTCTGCAAAAAAAAAACACAATTTCCACGGGAGGTTTGTACGCGGCAAAAACAATGCAGGCCAAAGCTCCGGCGTTTGCATGCTGAAGCATGCAAAGCGGCGCAACAGCCAATTCGCATTGGTAATCCTCATGCACTCATTAAACACTGATTCATTGGCTTAAAAAAAAACATCTTAATATATAGATGTATAGAGGGCTGCGGAGCTTGGGCCAGCCCACCACTGACTCTTCAGAAGTGGTGCCCATCTACCGATCCCAGAGGGTTGAGGGGGTTCTGGGGTGGCAGTGTCGCAGTGGTAATGCTCAGAATCAGAATATTTATTCATACTAGAGGAATCTGATGAGCTCTACAGCTCGTTTGCACAGATGTCCAGTAGGAGCGAGGATGAACGTTACAACAACAAACAGTACAAAAATATGCTAGTAGTGAAAAGTACAAGAAAGGTGAACAAGTTACCCAAACAGAGACAAATACAAATAAACCATCCCCGTCCTACCAGGCAAAGCCCACTGAGGTGATAACTTCTTTTTCAGTGACCTGGCCACAAATGATAGCTCAACGCAAGAAGGGCCTGGGTTCGATTTACGACTTGAATACTTTTCAACGTAGGTTTCTGAGTTCTATGTTTTTCTCACCAATGCTCTAAAATTTCCCACAAATCATCCACTTGGGATTACACACAGCAGCAACATTGCCCCTCCTGCTCATAAATCAACAGAATCCTACTGAACATGAGTTTTGAGACTCAGTGAGGCTTTTCTGGGTAAACAAGTGAAACAATCATGGTACATAAATCCCTACAAAGAGCCTGAGCCAGTCACATACAAGACTTTGCCTTTTAATTGAAGTAATTTCCCTTTAAAGCCTAATTCCCAAATGAACAATTAAGTCCAGAATTCTTGTCATCATCTAAGGTCCGCTCTGTGCATGTGCCGGTCATGCTGTAAATAACATTGTGGAAGTTTGGCCGTGAACCTCAAATACCATTAAAAAAAATACTTCATGTTTCATGTTTGGGTGAATGCAGGGTAACATCAAACAAAATGAGGGGGTGTCGATTTCTGTCATTTTCCAAGATGTAACCCCCAACCCCACGATGGGCAAGGATTTGGTGTACACTACTCATCTCTCCAGTTACCAAGAAACCTCATCTAATATAAAACCGAGTAAGCACTCGAATGAGACATACACACATGCCCTCCTCAGAACAATGGATATAACTACAGTATTGAACACAATACCGTACTCTTTATTTTATGGTCTGTTCAAAGACCACCCCCCATATAGCCTTTAAACAGCCTGTCAGAGCAAATCCTGTTAGCGAGCACCTATGAAGGCTGACACGGCACACGAGGCGGTGGGTGGCCAGCAGCACGCCCCAGACATATACCACAAATGTGTGTTGTCGTTTTAGAACAGATTTTAACTGAAATCAGAGCAAGTAGGATTAGAGCTCCACCCCCCCCTATTAGCCTGGATAGCTGAGGTTTTACTGCCCCTTGTGCTGCCTTCCACAGTGTAGCCTCAAACAACGACTATGGGAAGTAGTTTTAAAAATGTCGAATCGTGGCTCCGCTAATTGCCTGTACGCTTCCGAATTAAGGACCCGACTCCGAAAAACAAAGAGCTCTTAAAAGCGCACTCAGGATTTATTCGATATTTAACAGCATTTCTTCTGACTGGAGGCTCTTCTTGACCAGTAATTTAGTCACCCCCAGGGTGCTTACTTGTGTGTCCGGAGCAGCTTCATCAGAGTGGCTCTGCGAGTATTCCTGTCGGCATCAAGAGGGATGAATTCAGAGGGAGCCACCAGATTCCCCACACCTCCGCTGTGGCCTCCTCCACGCGCAGAAGAAGCAGTGGATGGTCGTCGAGCCGGCCTTGCCCCACTTTTCTATTTTCCAATGAGACAAACAACGACACACAGAACATGTGTTTTTCGTAGCCAATACAATCACCCACGTGTGTTCTTGGGTTAGGCCACGTGGTCATTTTATATCGTAATTCTCGTCATGAACCTTCCACCTCCCGAGGGGATTGTCACTCACAGTGATGTTATTAAGACAGCCGATGTACTGATCAAATTCTGACCAATAAAGGTCCTCCTCAACGGTGCCCTGGGACTTTTCATGGCTGAATTTAACATCAGTTTACCCGATGATCTTTCACTCAAATTGCTTCAAACACATTGACTCACAAAAGCAATATTTCCAGATTTCTCGTGTTAAAAAGGTTTAAATAGCACGCAAGTCACACAATTCGACGTAAAAAAGCACCACTCTTCCTTAAGGTAGGTTTTCTATTAAAGTGTAAAGAAGCTCTTTAAAATGGGAAATGTCTTTAAATTCTAAAATGCCCTCGAATCCTTTGTTATATTTCCAAGAAGTTGTACTGAATACAAGTCAAGCTCCCTGGGGTTTGAACTGGGCCAAGGTGTTGATTGGTTCATGCTTTATGATGCAAACGGCTCCAATGCCTTCACTGTGCCTCTTCAAATGCTAATATCCTTACGTTTGTTACTTTACCGGAAAATGATCTAAATTAGCAACTCACGGTAGCAATATACTTCCACTCTACAGTCTCCCTGATGCAAAACTAAACATATTTAAGAACTGGCTCACACAATGCACATAATTCAAATAGACACACAGTATACATCAGGCAGTCACTAAAATATTCCATTAAATTTCAGTCAAGAGTGACTTTCCTGGTCTACTTATGTTGGCTTCAAACATCTTGAAGTAAATATTAAACTAAATTGCAGGACCCTTCTGAAAAGTAGTAATTGGAGTGTTTTTATCTGGATAAATAACTCTTATCACCAGCAACAACCACAGACCATAGTTATAAAAACAATTGTTTTGTAAACGTTTAAACATCACCTTAAAAGTAATGTTGCCACCCTTAGCTTCAACTTTTCCACTTCCCTTGAGGCAATAAATCATTGAAGAAAACTTCGGCCTCCTTTTTTCATCACTGAAATAGAGAAAGAATATCAGACAATCTATTTATATCTTACATTCAATCTATTAATATCTTACATTATGAAGGTGTAGTTCATAATTGGCAGCATTTACTCAGCCCATCATCCTTCTAGGGTGAATAAAAAGCAACCCCCTGGGGTCCCTATGGGGGAGGAGCAGAGTCAGGGGGGACCTAGCACTACCCCCCCCCCCCCCATGAAGGTAAGAATCAGAATCTTTACTGAAACTGGAGGAATCCAAAGAGCTGTAGGGTGGGGGGGGGTGCAGGGAGGATGTTGGGAGGCAGCACGAGTTGTTCCCCGGGCAGGATGCGCCGTGCCCCTGCACCCCGGGCGTGTTCTGCTTGGACCGTGTGTGCCCTGGCAACCGGTGTTCTCAAAAGCGAGGAACCACAAGGTCCTGAGACTGGAACTCTGTGGACTGGCATGGCGGGTGCATACCACCGTGGGGGCGTCTTGTGGAAAATTGTATTTTTTATCCCATTGTTGCCGTGATGCACTTTGCCATTCAGGACGAGGAATTCCCTCCTGACACTCGACCAGCCCATATTGGACATCTGTGAAAAAGAGCTTCACAGCTCATTGGATTCCTCCCGTCTAAATAAAGATTCTAACAATCTAGTTGTGGTACTTTTAATGTTACTAAAAGAAAGGTGTTCTTCTGGCCAAGCTTGGTCTCTATTGCGCGAGCGCCGAAGGGAGCGTGCAAGTGGATCTGGCAGAAGGGGAAGGCCGACGCCTCTACCGCCTCATTGTGCCAATGTGTGGGGATGTTGGAGGTGGCCTTCCTGCTTCAGCAATGTGGAATTTCTGCGTCTGCCTTATGGCTGTAAAATGGAGATGAGCACCGACTTCAATGCTCAAATGAGCACGAAATTATGTTAACTTGAGTTCACATACACACGTGTGTAATATTAATCAATTGTTTGAGAAACTTCATGTTGTGCACGCGGAAGGCATAACGGTGTGAGACTGCTGCTGTACACAGCAAAGCAGGGCTATGTCCAGCTCCTCGGCCTAGCACAGATGATTCTTCCCATTTCAATCACCACAGCAGAGTTCATTCCCCCGGCAGTCATCTGCCCAGGTGGAGCGGTGGCCCAGTGGTGTGCATATTGCACTACACATCTCGCGGATTCAGTTCGATTCCTGCCAACGGCTAGCATCAGTGTCGATAAGACATCCGAGTCAGTGCTGGAATCACCCCCCCCCCCCACCTCCGGATCAACCTGGGTAGGGTTGCTACCTGTCCAGACTTAGCCCAGTCAGTCCTGCGATTGGCATTTGTATTTGGGTGGCAGGAAATTATTTTCACTGAGCTCTAGTGGCATTGAGTTGAAATATATGTTTGTACACTGCACAGTTTGCATAGACCTAGGCTGACTGAGATATATATCTGGGTTTGGTCTGTGGAAACGGTGGTAACCCTAAACCCGGCAGTAACCAGTGTGGACAGAGGAAGGTCGGACAGTCCCCATGATCGACAGAGTCTGGGGAGGTCTTCACCCAGCACTGGATTGACCAAGGGGTTGTACATTGTGTCAGTGATGTGCAATCCTGCCAGCTGATGAAACCAACTCTTTGACTGCAAGGTCGGGAGACATCATCACGGAAATATTCGGCTTCCTGCTCCTCTCTTGGCAACTTCTCCATGGAAGCTGTAGATAATTACACGGCTGTTATTTTAATATTTAAGTGCAAAATAGTTAATCACGTTTGCAAATTGTGCATGTTATCTCGGGCTTGCCGGTCAGTGTCATCCTGTTCAGAAGCATAAATAAACTCGCCTTTTGCCCATCCAAGGACGGGTGTATTGCAGTAAATCTGAAGTTTGCAAGCGAAAATCAGACCGCGACATGATATTCATTTGCATCAATGCGTGTGCAATTTGTAAGGCCGCGGTGACACAGACCTATTTCATTTTAAGGTTATAATCCCTTGTTCATCACGACATCCTTTTTACTTCGATGTCTCAATAGTGAGGGGTGGGGGGGTGTCCATTTGGAGGACGTCACCTGTTCATGAATATTAATGAGGGGGGCTGGTCGATGTGGAGTGACGTCACGAGCATTAAGGACAGACATTCCTGGGTGATTATAGTAGGTATTAGAAAAAGTATTTTACCTCTGTCGTATCAGGAAAGTGGCGACAGGAAACAATGAAAAACATTGTCAGGCAATTCGATTGCTCAGCAGCCACACCTTGAGGAATTGACTGGCTGTACATTGCTATGAACAAAAATTAAATCGTGCTTAAAATAGACAAGCGGCACACGATGGAACGTCGTGCGAAGTTGAGTGTCCTCATCTACCACACCCAGCAACCGTCCACTCCCTGCTCTTCACAACCCTCGATACACAGTCAACAGAACATGTGCTCGTGTCACTGGTACAGCCGTGCAACTAAGAAGCTGCGAGACGCTGGTGCGGCTGCAGTGCCGCTGCTGCTGTCACCCCACAGCAATCGCAACTCGCTCGCAAACCCCATCTCCATTGTCCACCACATTAAACAAAACTAACTCTGCCCACTCGGTTGAGACTCGGTAGGTTGAAACAAAGTACTGTACTGTGCTTGTGGAAGTTTGCCTGCATTGCCATTGAGTCACTTTTACAACGCCAAAGCCAAATAAAACTGGGGCCAACTTACTTTGGTCAACACCACGGCCAAAGGTTTCTCCACCTGTGAGACATCACTCACGGGCAGATTTAGAGCCACCTTTAAAATGTCGAGTGGGTCACGGCATCGGGCTGATGCCGTGTGCCTGGTGAGGCTGCTTCTTCAGGCTTACGACACAGATTTATTGATATTGCCCAAAAAATTATCTGATGACCCTTACTGACGTGCTGCAGTAAGGGTCATCTTAAGTCACTTGATGATGCATTACTTAAATTAATGTTGAGAAATGACATTAGTTTTATTCTGACTCGGTGACCAGTTTGAACGGCCTTCATACAGCAGTGAATAATAGACCTTGGCTGATGATGTGAGAAGGCAGTATGACTAGAGAGAGGTGTTGTTTGTGAAGAGATGACCTTTAGGAGGTGTGTTTGTGAGAGGGGGTGTGGGGAGCGGTAGTGTAGCGGTTAGCACAATGCGCTATGAACCCGGGGACCCCAGTTGGATTCCTGCTCACGGCCAACACCGGTCAGGATTATTTTAATCGGTTCTGGGCTTCCCCTAGGTCGACTCAGCCTCAAATGAGTACCTGGTGCGGTGTGTAAACATCGCCACTGGGGAGACAAAGGCGGCCGGGCGTGGTGCTAGCCACCCACCCCCTCGTGTGCCATACCGGCCCTTATAGGTGCTCGCTAACAGCACTTGCCCCAACAGTCTGTTAAGGCTCTAGGAGAGTCTGTTTGTGAAGAGATGAAGTTGCACAGTATTAGACGCCACGAGATTACATCACGTGTGAGACATCGTGGAAAGGTGAAGACCCTTTTGGGCCGCTGACCCCTTGGCAATCCTTTAATAAATGTAGCCGGTTTTCTAGTTGCCAATAGCAACAAAGTTTTATACTAAAACTTAGGTTTTGTTCATTTTGGATGAAGGCTATGCATTGAAGCTTTCGACCTTAGTTGTAAACCATAAATTAATTGCTACTGCCCGAAACGTTCACGATATTTCTCCTCTTAAGACAGTGGATATTGACGAGTGTGCTGAGCTTTTTATTTGTGCTCTACTGCCAACATTGTATCACCAAATACAGTAATGTGTAATGCTGCTCTAAGAGTGTTCATCAACATGAAACAATGGGCATGTTATTGACGTGTCTGTTTTTTTAACATCCTGTCTGCCTAGAGGCCCTTCAATCAACAAATGGTAAGTTCCTCATTGTTTTACCCCTTTTTCCCTAATCCGGAACACAAATGCCTCTGGATCTGGCTTATCACCAAAGATTTGGTTTTCACATTCATAAACCCACAAACGAAAAACAAAACTGTGATTCGTGTTTTGATATAAATCTTGATTTCCCTTTAACACCTGGTATCGTCTCCCTTACTGCATGTTGCACATTATGCAGACGACACTTTTACAGAAACCCAAGTTTCATTCCACCTTAAGGTTCATCCTGCATGCTCATTACTCCAAGTCTGGCCTTTGGCCTATCTCAGCCAGGCGTGGAACGCACTGGGTGAAATGTCTTCAATGCTTCGTACAAATTAGCAAATGCCACAATGGTGTTGCTTATATCCAGATCCAAATTATCACAACTTTAGACATGCCACCCCCTTTCAATACATCTGCCCTATACTGTATATATACTGTATATAACTTTGCCATTGTCTGTATGTGTGTGTATTGGTGCTCGCTAACATAACTTGCCCCAACAGTCTATTCAGGCTACCGGGGAATCTTTGTCTTTGTATATGCTAATCTGGCAGCTACAGAATGCCCAAGTCCTGATTGAAAAGCATCGTGGGAACAAATCTCCCCACCGCCGAGAGATGTACGTCGGTTGCCAGTCGACTTGTGGATCACGTTTAAAATCATCCTACTAACATGTCACGCCTTGGGATGGGTATGGGTCCTGCTTACCACTGAACTTTCGGAGAGATATGTTCCTACCAGAAGTCTCAGATCTACACAAAGACACCTTGTAGCTCCTAAGTTTAGGTGTGTTAGGAGGGTGTTCATTCCAGTGTCTGCCTCCCAGGTTGTAGAATGACTTCCTCCATTGATAGAGAAACTAGTCGTTGTAAAGGCTGCTGAAGACACATCTCTCAATTCCCTATGGGGTTAATAATCCAGGGTTGTTGATTCCTAGTCCTCGTTCATGAGTTCCGAGTCTGCGTTTGTGGATTCTCAGAGTCGGGTGTTATGGGTCCCGTGTCTTGTCAGGTGTTCACGGTGCCGCGTGCTGAAGTGTTGATGTCGAGCACACCATGGACACCGCCTAATAAGGAAGCTGTTGCACTTTTTAAACTAAAGTACTGCATATTCTTGGTTCTTTCGGTAAAGTCACGTAGAAGGGAAACAATAAAATAATACAAATATAAAACAATAAAATTCTCACGACGTTTCGACTGTTTTATATTATTTTATTTTATTATTTCCCTTCTACGTGACTTTACCGAAAGAACCAAGAATATGAATCCCTGCAATCACGAAAGCTTTAAATCTAAATTTAAAGTACTGCATTTTATTATCTCTGCTATGATTACATTTTATTGATGTAATGTTGTTTACTTGTGAAACGCTTTGTGACAATATTATTGTGAAGGCCGCTATATTAAATAGAGATTGATTGATTTTAAACACACCTTATAAAAATATACTTTTTAAAGTTACGTGTACAACGTTGGTATATTGATCGTCTGTCGCCACGGAGTAATTGGTGCTAAACAAATGGGACCATAGAATTACAAACCCGTGCCATAAAATAATCTTACGTGGATTGCAAACTTAAACGCATTGCTGCAGTTTTCCAGCACACATCGAATGGAAATGAGAGAACTCATGGGGGAAGAATGAATGAGGGTGAAGTGAATGAATGAGGGTGAAGTGAATGAATGAGAGGGTGAAGTGAATGAATGAGAGGCTGAAGTGAATGAATGAGAGGGTGAAGTGAATGAGAGGGTGAAGTGAATGAATGAGAGGGTTGAGTAACTGAATGAGAAAGTTAATGAGGCACGAGTGGGTAATTTGGGAGAACAAAATGCATAAAAGAGAAAAGGAATGAGTATATAAGGCATAGACGAGTGAATTAAAGGAACTAGATGATTGAGTGAGTGAATGAGTAGAATGACTGAGACAAGAATGAGAATGAATTCGATAATTGAGTGACACAATGAGGGAACTGATCAAATGGGTAAGAATGTGTGGAATTAATGAAGATTGAATGAGTAGAATGATTGATGGAATGAGAGCTAAATGAATAACTGAGGGAGGAATGAGCGCAACACGAGATAAATAAGCGAGCAAGAGACGGTGTGGTTTAATGGTGTGGTGTAGCTGTGGTACAGACGGTCCCCGCTTTCACGACGCATGCGTACCCCGCTTTCACGACGCATGCGTTGCCGGAATCACCGGCGTAAATAGGACGCCATAAACAGTCGGCATCACTTGCCGATGTGGTTTCCTTTCATCCGCCTTATTTAACAGTCATATACAAGTGTGTGATGAGAGTTCAGTGCCTGGAATTCCTTGCGTCTACATTAAACTTATCTGACCAGAGCCGAGTTTAAAGAAAGCTTGGTGAATAAACAGGTTTCTCGATAAGTTTTGTAAATGTTTTTCAGTGGACCTAAGCCAATATTTAATTGTTGTATCGATGCCCCGAGCCAACGTGTTTACATTTGGTCAGGTTTGTGGCTCAGGTGAGACGAAGAACATAGCCCATGTGACTGGCAGGACTAGAACGCGAGCTGCTGCTGCTGTTGTGTCCCCCCGCGCCGTGTGCCCCCCCTCCCCCCGTGTGCCCCCCCCCGGTGTCTACCCAATCTGTCCCCCCGTGTGCCCCCCCGTGTGCCACCCCCGTGTGCCCCCCCCCGTGTGCCCCCCCCCCCCGTGTGTCTCGCCTGTTGTTTCTGAAGCTGTGGTCGTAGATGTCTCTGAGCTCGGCTCTCGTAAAGACGCGGAGTCCCGGCTCGAAGCCGCTCTGCTGCAGGAACGACGCGAACTGCAGCCCCGCCTGGACGCACTTGTGCCAGCTCAGCGCGGACATCGCGTTTGAGAGTTGCCTCGCGAGTGTTGAATGAGAAAGTTGAATGAGAAAGTTGAATGAGAAAGTTGAGGGAGAGCAACTCTGCGCGAGACGAGAGCTGTAGTGCGAGCGTCGCCCCGCTGAGAAGTGAGCAAGACGAGACGACGTGCGGCTCAGGTGAACGAGACCCCCGCCCCCTACTTATCCACCTCTGCCCCACACACCCACCCCTCCGCGCCCACACCGTTGGTTTGATCCGCCGTGCTCGAACACGGGCGAGACCGCCCGGGCGAAACCAACCGAGCACCGCGCCGGGGGGTGCCGGCGCCAGGGGATTTCCCGGTAGGTCGAAGCGGAATCCCGGAACCGCCGTCACCGAGCACCGAGGGGAGACTCCTCGCGAGCACCGCGAGCCTCGGCTCGAGTCCCCCGCCCCGTGCGACTCACGGCGACTGTGCCGAGGAGGAGACGCTGGTCCGGCGGGGGTCGACGCCGCGCACACCCAGCCCCCCGCGGGGCTCCGTGGGCACGCGCATTGTGATGCTGCTTGCTGATGCCGCCGCCGTGTCTCCCGTTAGCCGCGTGCAGCAGTCACAGGGTTCTCCGATATAATTTACTCTGTAACACGATTCTTGTTCCTGGGTACTAAGTGTTATTTTCTAACTGCTTGTGCCTCAATAGTATAGAAAATGGCTATTCATACTCTTTGGTTCTATTCGGTAAAGTCACGTAGGTAAAAAATAAACAACGAAAATCACGACGTTTCGGCCACAACACAAGTGGCCGGGAGGACCAACCTGTCCAGAGGACAGAGGACAGGTTGGTCCCTTCGGCCACTTGCGTTGTGGCCGAAACGTCGAGATTTTCGTTTATTTTTTACCTACGTGACTTTACCGAATAGAACCAAAGAGTATGGATCCTTGCAGTCACGAAAGCTTCAAATCTAGAAAAAAAATGGCTATTGTTCCCCACAAACTTTGCTTTTGTGACCAGGACTTTATGTGAAGGAATGACACAAATCCACACCACGTTTTCTCATTGCAAATAGGTACATTTCAAAGTATCACTGTCCTGCTCACAAAAGCAAAGTTTGTGGGGAACAATAGCCATTTTCTATACTATTGAGGCACAAGCAATTAGAAAATAACACTACCCAGGAACAAAAAATAAATTTAAATTATATTTTTTTGTTCCACGGTGATATAATCCGCTCCGGAGATTGAGACGCAACTCCCCTGCCCCCAACTTTTACAATTCTGTAACTCACCGGATTATAAGACGCACCGCCCAGACGTGTACAGTACTTTAAAATACAGAGTGCGTCTTATAATCCGGTAACACCGCGTGATTCAGTCACGCGGTGCGCGGTCCATCTCGGAAGCTAAGCAGGCGTTGAACCTGGATAAAGTGCTTGGATGGGCGATCTCCGTGCACGCCAGGCAGTGAGACACAATTACTGTTGTACCGTACTTCTGTCTCCACCGCGTCTATGTTCCCCGAACGTCCATGGTGAAGGATGGTCGAATAACCCCACGACGTGTTGGAGGAGACCTCATCCAGCAGCGGATAGGACACGTCACCATCCGCGGTGAGACGTTAAGGATGTTTTTATTTGTGCGTTTGTACCACTACCTACCAAATAACCTGTCATAGCCCGGACATATCAATAATACCATGCTTGAGTCCATCATCATTACCCAGCATCATCTGTTTCAGGCAAAATAACCTGTGTACGGTAGGGCGGGTAGACCTCCTCGCCTGGACACCTCGGGCCCCCACCACCACCATGACTCCACACCGGGGCGGGACTCGAACTGAGTGCCTGTGGTTTGCGGTTCCCGCAAAAAGAAGCGACCGGCCACAGTGACGTCTCTTCTGAGAACCCCGCTCCGAACGAAAGTTACACCCCCCCCACCTCCCGCGCTGGACTCAGTTGGTTTCACCCGAGCGGCCTCACCTGCGTCCGTGCACTGCGGATCAAACCAATGTAAGGAGGGCTAGGAGGGGGGATTCCCGTGCATCTGGGCGCCATCCACGGCTGTTGCAGGTCTCATTTCGCGTAACTCACGCCTGCAATTCCTCGCGCGCGAGTCACGCAACTTCGCCATGTGCGTGCGTGCGTCCAGGTCTGGCTGCACGAGAGACGAGCTCAGAGACAGCAGCAGGCGAGACACGAGGGGACACACGGGGATACACTTACTCGACATCCTTAATTTAACAAGGACATTAATTAACCTCATTAACACTTATGAACAAAGAACAATGTATACCAGGCGAGGTAGTTAATATATCGCTACAGACCCAAGTGCCATGGGCTGACTGAGATGACTGCCAAAATCTACCCACCTGTGATCTGCCAGTCATCTCCTGGGCGCCGCGGTGGCTAGGAGATGTTAACTCCTTCACCTAGTATGCAGGAGGTCTCGTGGGTTCGCTCCCGACCCTAACGCCTGTATATTTGGACGGTGTATGTTCTCCCCGTCATTGGGTGGACTTTGCTCCGGGCTTTCCCTCCATACTTAGAAACATGCGTTTAGAGTATTTGGCTGATATAAATTTCCACATAAGCCACTTCGTTGAGTTATCACTTGTGGCCAAGTCGCGTCTGAAAAATAGCTGTTATATAGATCAGTGGACTTTGCCTGAAAATAAAAAAAATAGTTTCGTTTTTAGTCTCAGTGTGGCACCATGATGCAAGACACAATCTGGGTTCCGAAAAAAATACAGCACCACATCTGCTGCATTAGACTCTCTGAATAAAATTTACAGTAGCCTTGATAATAAGCAGTACTGTGCCTGTCTTTTTCTAGACCTGTCCAAAGCTTTTGATACAGTAGACCACAACACCCTGCTTAGTACACTAAGTTGCCTCGGTTTTTCCGAAAACACAGTAAAATGGTTTAAAAATTACCTCTTTTCTCGCACCCAAACTGTATTCACAGATGATTGGAGGTCAAACAATGTTAAGATAACAAAAGGGGTTCCACAGGGTTCCATCCTCGGCCCCCTCTTGTTCTCTCTTTATGTCAATGACTTGGGCACTGACCTGGATCATTCCAGGGTATATCTTTTTGCAGATGACACGATACTGATTACTGCTGGCTGCTCGCCGGATGACGTGATTGATAAGCTCCAGGGTGATTTCAACAAACTACAACATCAGCTAGTTGCTCTTAAACTAGTCCTGAATATCTCCAAAACCAAGGTGCTATGCTTCTCACCGGGACTAAAGCAGGAAGTTATTTTTTTCCCCAATTACATTCCTTAAATAATTATCAAATAGAGCAAGTCAAGATCTATAAGTATATTGGGGTCATCCTGGATTCAAAACTGAATTTTGAAGATCACATTGATTATATTGGTAAAAAGACAAAAATAAAAATTGGTTTTCTGTATCGACACAAGCACTGCTTCCCCCCTATGTTCCGTTTGGAATTGATAAAAGCTACCATACTGCCTCTACTTGATTACTGTGATATCGTGTATAAATCAGCCCCAAGTACTGTACTGAAGAAGCTTGATTCCATCTATCACTCGGCCTTAAGATTTGCATTGAACTGCCCATATAGGACTCACCACTGTGATCTCTACATTGGGTCAAACTTAACATCTCTTAATGTTCGACGGCTTGTGCACCAGATCTTATTTATTCACGATGTACTTACAAAAAAAATCCGCAGACTACCTGCTAGATCTCCTCTCTGTTTCAAAGAACACATTTGACCTCAGGTCTTCGCTCATTTACCAGCTTCACATACCCTATTGCCGTACAAAAACCGGAGGAAGGCCCTTTGCTATTGATGCCCCCAGGGTCTGGAATGCTATTGCCAATAAACTGCAGCTTGAATCACTACCTATGAGATCTTCACTCAAAACTGCTCTAGAGGAATTTTGATTTAAAGCTTTCGTGACTGCAGTAATTCATATTCTTAGCTCTTTCGGTAAAGTCACTTTGAAGGGAAACAATAAAATACTAAAATATATATAAAACAATAAAAATTCTCACGACGTTTCGACCATAACACAAACGGTCATCATCATCACCTGATGATGACCGTTTGTGCTATATTTTATTAGTTTATTGTTTCCCTTCAACGTGACTTTACCGAAAGAGCTAAGAATATGCTCTAGAGGAGTTGTACACCCCTAGCTGCCACTGCTATTCAGTGGCCTAAAATAAAATAAAATGTTTCGCTCCGGATGACCGCTGCAAAGTATTATCTGTATTTTGACTTAGTGTGCTGATCTTAAAGGTGCATTGCAAAATTTGATACTCCGACTGATGCTCCTGTTGTTGTGGAGTGACTCATGCAGCCAGCTATGGCTCTAGGGTTTGGTGTTACATGTTATTTATGTAGTTTATTGTTAAAAATTCGGTCACAGTCCCTAGGATCACTGTTACATTGCATTTATGACTTTATTTTGGTGATTTCGAAAAGTTTTTTGGTTTGGCCATGTTTTGTTTGTTGTAGTACGGAGTTAGACTGATGGCCTTAATCTAAGTTGTCTTGTGGTTGTTGTTGTTGTTATTGTTTGACTTGCATCCCACTGGGATTTTTGCACACAGCGTTGGTGTACGGTGCTTTTTTAGGAATATGTTGATGTTTTTTTCCTGGATTTTCTGTTTGCACAGTCACATAGTCACTTTAAGATGTTTTCTTGTTCATGTTTTTGTTGTTTGTTGCGGTTGCACCCGATTCAAGAGCCGAATGGCTCACAGGGCTATACCACAATAAATGGAACTGAACTGACCAACAGAGGGCGCGCGTGATTTTTGGTTCCACAAGTCTCGAGGCGTATTGCGTGGACCGCACGCGTATTTTGGCTGCCCAAGTGCCATATTAAAATTATTGAGCAAGATGTGAATGTGCGCCATGTACGCCACGTGGTTAGAGGCCTTGATCAGAGGCGCCAGAAGTCCTCCCGTGGTGTCTCTGCGGCGTGCTTCTTGGTCGCATGTGGTGCTCGTGCGCGCGTTGTTGTCACCCCTTGCGCCCGAGGAACAATTTGGTGCTGCATTCCACACCTGACCCCGCATTGCTGTCATTCCCCACTTCCAGTGCGGCACAGATTCCTATTCAAACAGGGCCCACACTTGCGTTGTTTGCACAGTGTTCATAACAGGTATTGTCCACACCGTGCACCTGTATGTTGAACATATTTCGCACCGTACGTAGCCAATCGTGATCATCCTTTCTCTCACCTCGTTCCCCAAATAATCCCCATTTCCTCGTAGTGGATTTAAAGGGACGGAACGCGAGTTTCTTAGTCCCGGTGTTTAACCTGTTAATACTTTAATCGACTGTTTTAACCATGTGAGCCCTGCTACGGGCCGTGTGTCAACCACGGCAGCGCCGTCACTGCGTGCCCACGTGATGTAAATGTGTTGACGGGTGATTGCTGCACACACAACGGACTCTCTTGTGAGCAGCAGTCATCGTTATCATCGATGTTTACGTGCCGCGATGGCGTGGAGGAGGCCGCGATGGCGGGGAGGATGCCGTGATACACTCATCTTACACTGACTCACACATCATACACTGACTCACTCATCTTACACTGACTCACTCACACATCATCCACTGACTCACACATCATACACTGACTCACTCATCTTACACTGACTCACTCACACATCATACACTGACTCACTCACACATCATACACTGACTCACTCACACATCTTACACTGACTCACTCATCTTACACTGACTCACTCATCTTACACTGACTCACTCACACATCATCCACTGACTCACTCACACATCATACACTGACTCACTCATCTTACACTGACTCACTCACACATCATACACTCACACATCCTACACTGACTCACTCATCTTACACTGACTCACTCACACATCATACACTGACTCACACATCTTACACTGACTCACTCATCTTACACTGACTCACTCACACATCTTACACTGACTCACACATCATACACTGACTCACTCACACATCTTACACTGACTCAGTCATCTTACACTGACTCACTCATCTCACACTGACTCACTCACACATCATACACTGACTCACTCACACATCATACACTGACTCACACATCTTACACCGACTCACACATCTTACACTGACTCACTCATCTTACACTGACTCACTCACACATCATCCACTGACTCACTCACACATCTTACACTGACTCACTCACACATCTTACACTGACTCACTCACACATCATACACTCACACAACCACTGACCCATTCACTCATCATACAATGATTCACTCATCATACACTCACTCATAATACGCTGACTCACTCACACATCATGCACTCACACTACCACTGACTCACACATCATACACTGACTCACTTATCATACGCTGACTCACACATCATACACTCACTACCATTGACTCACACATCATACACAGGGAGTGTCATGCTGACAGATATGGCTGCAAGTTTGTTCGTACATGTTTTGTATATCGTTTATTGTTAAATTTGAATCAAAGTTCCTATGATTACTGTTGTTACATTGCATTTTATAGCTTTATTTTGGTGATTTCTAAAACATATGGTTAAGCCATGTTTATTGCGGAAGTACGGAGTTGGCCTGATAACTTGAATCTAAATTGTCTCATGGTTATTGTTTGTCTTGCATCACACTGGGATTTTTGCATAAAGCGTTGTAATACGTTTTTTTTTTTCTGGAAGATTTACTGGTTTATCCAGGATGTTTCTGTTGCACGTCGTCGCTTTAAGATGTTCTCTGTTCATATTGTGTTTGTTGCAGTTTGCACCCGACTCAAGAGCCGCATGGCTCACAGGGCTATACCTAATGAATGAAACTTGAAACATGTTGCAGCGTGAGTCATGCAAACATCATCTCGCAACACTGCACAATCCGCGATACACACCGAGGTGTGTGTAGATTAAGATGTATTCAGACAAACGATGAGTGATTATGCGTGTGAAAGAAAACCGGAGAAAACCCACACATTCTAGGTGGCAACTATCTCACCGATACCGATGGAGACAAGTCCGCATTTTGCTGGACTGAATTTGTTGAGCCACGCTAGCAGCAGCACCACGCGTGCGAAGCAGCAACACTCCATCATCCCTTAAAGACGGAACAAGTCCAGATGTTCACTCTACCGCCGTCTCCTGGCAAGCCAGGGTATACGCACCTCAACTTCCACGGGAAGGGAGTCATTGGTGTGGTCCACCAACCTTCGCTGCCTCCACCATGCTGGCTCACAGGCCACGTGCAGTGTAGCCACCACCGCCACGCATTTGGTGTGCTACCAACTTTAATTCTAAAGCACCACACAAGGTCCATGTTCTGTTGATCTACTGAGATGAAATAGTTGACAAAGCAGCCTATCACTTTTGCACACCCGAGATTGTGCAGTAAACATTCAATTTGACAAAACATTGTGTACAGGTACACAAGAGTGTTACTTGGATCATATATACACTCATTTACTTCATTATAATTAAGTAGCCTTTTCCAAAAAACATGCCACACCAACACAAGCATTGCTATCCCACAGCGTTGTGTGGAAGTAAACAAGTTTTTATTGTGCAGGTACACTTTCCAATGTAGTTTACAACTAAAGTTTATCCTAAATCTAAAGACACCAAGATATGAAACATCCTTTCCTTTTATATGCAAAATAATACACAGATTGGCTAATGTCTAATATACAGTATATATTACCTATCCGTACAGAGCTCTCTTAATTCACATTCAATAAAAAAAACTATATTCTCAATCGACCTTCAAACTCACGTTCAATCAATTATATCTCACATCTTAATTTTGTACCTATAAAGACATTCAAAGATCAGACAACAATCAGAACAGACCTCCTGCATTTCAGCAATTAAATACATTTCAGAATAAGCTGCAGCACGGCACAACACTTCCAGAAATGTCGAGTATTTTTTGCCATCAAACGGTACGGTTCAGTTAAGCGCAGCGCTCCTGCTTGTGAGTTACCCGTCGCTACACCACAGGGAAGGGAGTCAAATATAAAATGTACGGGCAGTCCTCAGGTTACGAACCTAATTCGTTCCCGTGACCCGTTCGTAAGTCGCAACACAACGCACTCGAGTTAAATTCCCATACGGTCAGTGTTATGAAATGTTCAACAAAAAAAGAATCATTGTTACACTCATAATTATGAATATTGTACATTTGCATGTAAGACTGTAACAAGTGTTTTATCGTAAATAAAACATTAAATAAAGTAACAAGTGCTGTAAGCGAGCAGCACCTATGAAGGCCGGCACGACACACGAGGGGGTGGGTGACCAGCACCAACGCCCGACCGCCTTTTTTCTCCCCAGTGGTGATGTTTACACACCACACCAGGCTAGGTACTGGTGTTGGCCGTGAGCAATAATCGAACTCGGGTGGCCGTTTTCACAGCGTAGCGCGCCAACCGGTACACTACCGCTCCCCACACACTCACAATTTCACACAAATGCACGCACTCCCAACGCGAGGCGGACTCATACAGATAGGAACAACAGGTTCCACACTGCCCACCAGGGATTATCTCGCGGAGGGTCCCCCATCTGAACAAAATAGTTCCGCAGTTCAGTTTACAATTGTGAGTTCGCGTTTTAAGTCAATGTCATTTTTTTATATTTCATGGAAGCTGGTTCATAAGTACGTGTGTTCGTAAGTCGGGAGTTCCTAAGTCGAGGACTGCCTATATGAAAAAATAAAAATGGAAGAGAAGAGAAAGAATGGGAAATAAGATGAAAATGATGGGAAAATAATGGAAAAACAGGAGCAAAGGGGCAGGAGAGATGAAGATAGAGAAGACGAGGCTACGGAAGGGCCCCTTGTGGGTGCTGCATAGAGCAGTGTGTTTTCACAGTGGGCGCGGCAGGGAGGGATTAAGACTGGGGGTGGCCACGTAGAAGTCACGTGAGTTACGGGAGGCTTGAGCTGATCTAGATAGTTGGCGCAGCTAGTGCACATACAATAACATTTGTTTCAGCAAAAAAACTCGAAAACATATATAGGAATCCCTCGCTATACATAAATAATGATTTTCTGGGATATGATACTGAACTCCAAATTACTTAAATCAAACTTATTTTTCATAGATGTATTAAAAACAAGGGTTGCGTTCCTAGCTGATATTTCTTGAAAAAAAAAATAAACGTGACTAAATGTCATGAAGTGTACAAACATTCATTTGATTATTAGTTAACACACATTCTAACTAATGCTAAAGACAAATAATAGGATAAAACTAACCAGAAATTATTTAAGAGCTTGATGAATGAGACCTCTTGGGGTGAACAATGGTGGAGTTACACAGACAAAGGGGCAGGATCTCCTGCCCCTTCATCTGACGATGAAGCTGGAGCTAGAGCAGTGTTCACCAGAGGAAGCTGGCTCTCTTCTGCTCTCTTCTGGTTTGATTGCAGAACGCTTAAAAAAATCTGTCCAAAGTCAGCTGAGCAGAATGTTTCTTCTTCTGCTGTGGGTACAGCTCCTCGTTGCAGTGGATGCCACTGGTTAATGTCCTGTTAACTTAAGCATTGCGTTCTCTATTCGGCTCATCCTCTCTGAAGATGCCCATTGCTGCTTCCAAATTAACAAAAGCCTCTTGACAATCTTCTTCAAGTGAATATTCGTGGTGGTGGTGGTGGTTGAGTTCCATTGGCCTCTTCCTCAGCTCGTTGTTGTTCCAGATCCTCATTTTATCGCTCCGCAGCGTGGGACTCGAGCAACTCCAGCACATTGTCCGACTCCTCCACACCGTCAAGTCCACAGCTTCCCTCTGCCATGTGAAAGAAACTCCTTTCACATGGCAGAGCGATGTTCAGTGGTATGCACTACACACATACAGTGTGATATTACATCGAAGAATGGTGCGTTTTCACCGCACGCGTTCTGAGATTTAAAAAAATGTGTAAAATTATTGCGCAATTTGCGGAACATTACTCTTCAGGAAATGTGTTCCCTCATTAATCGCCAACGTATATGCAAAACAGCATATAATGCTGCAACTTATAGCGGGGTATTCCTGTACGGGAAATAAGCAGCAGTGAAATCACAAAGCATTTAAAAAATAGGCGACACTGAGTCACAAAGTGTGCAAATAGTAAGCAAACAAGAAATCTGTCTCTACATTAAACTCACTTCACTATTTGTCCAATGGCCTATGGGTTTTCCACCCCAATGTTCCACCGGATATCTTTCTTGACGCAAGCAAACTCTGGACCATTTTCGAATTTTTGAGTCACCAGTAATGCCAGGCCTGTTAAAACAAGGGCCGCTGGTTTCCAGGAGTCATAGTGAGAGACCCTCACGATGAAGCCCCATTACGCCGAGTGTGCCAGAGTTTGTCTGTTGCAACCAAATCAGCCGAAGAGAAATGTAGTTTCCCTTGAAGAGACGGACTGCTGTGCTCACCGTGACCCTTTGTGACGATGACAAATGTAGTTTGTTTAAACAATATATATACATATAGGTTACATGAAGCAGGAACGTCACACCTTTGACCAAGCTATAGATCATATGAATATGAAATTTGTTCTCAGTGTCCTCGAAAAAAAGAGTACGATATATTATGCTAAGTGTACATTCTAGAGTCATACATTCTACCAAATACAATTTCTTTTGCACTCCTATCGTTTTTTTGTATTGTTTGTTGTTGTTACTTGCTGACCCACTCCTAATGGACATCTATGAAAAAAGAGCTTCATAGCCCATCGGATTTCCTCCAGGATATATAAATATTCTGATAAGAATTCTCATTTGGACAATTAGCATGTACAATGACTATGAATGCATGTGGATGACACCACCATAAGATTGCAGTGTTCAGTATTTCTAAAATGTTGTTATATAATTCCCAAGAATGTATTGACCTTCAACTGACCACAATCTGTAAACCTAAAATATTAAATGTCAATGCATATTGGCAAAACTGCTTTCCAATAATGAGTAATTACGTGCAGCATTTGTTGACTTGTTCAACGGTTGGGGAATCGTATTAATTCAGCCCCTCCACAGTTCAATCGCTACGAGATCGGACACGTGACTCCATTCACAAATGACTCATTACGTGTCATGGAGAATGTTCATACTAAATAACGCCTCCCTTACATATTTGTTTTTCCACATTAAAAAAAAATTCTTTAACACATCCTATCAGCCAAACGGCCTTCCGGAAGTGAAATTTATCAGCAACAGCATTGGTTCAATTCAAGCAAACTCTGGATTTATTTTGATATTGAATGTCTCATTTGCAGAGACAGGCTTACTTCAATGCTGGTGAACTGACAGATGTTCATAGGCAAGGGACCTTTCTGTGAAGATTGGTCCTCGTTCGATACAAAACTAGACCAGTTAAATTTTCTGTGGCGAGGGCTAGAGTCTCCCCATCGGATAACCACAGTTAACTACACCACTCACTGGGCCTCTGTTTCCCTTTTCCACTGGTACATCGTAGCCTCACGGCATGGGTGGTTTTTCACTGGTTGTTTGCCGTGTGGAGCCAAAATCAAACCAAGGCATCACAATCCGTTTGGGGTCTAAGCAAGGCCTGCAGCGGAGCTAATGACACATTCACTGCACGTGACGTCAGTCAGTACACCGAGGTCACAGCGTCAGCACGTCGGCCACACACGTCTCAACTTGTTCACCACGTGTGTGACATTAAAGCGGTACGGCTCAATCTCTACAGTGGATAAAACAACCGGGCCAGCAGAGCCGTTGGCTCGCCGTGGCTCTGGAGCAGCTCGGTCATGCGGACTAAAAGGGGCATTAAGAGAGCTCGGTGACCGGGGTGACTGGATCGGTGTCGGCGGAGGGCGAGGCGGCGTAGTGCGGTGGCGACTCCAGGTTGACGTAGGCGACACGCAGCGTGATGTAGTGGTCGCCCATGAGGCACGACTGCAGCAGCTCCAGGCGTCTCACGAGCTCAGGGAAGCCCGGGCGATCCCCGGCGGTCGGTCCCCAGCAGTCCAACATAAGCACGTACCTACAAAGATAATCATCCCCCATATAGCCTTTAACAGACTGTTGGGGCAAGTGCCGTAAGCGAGTAGCACCTATGAAGGGTGACGTAGCACACGAGGATGTGGGTGGCCAGCACCACGGCCGGCCGCCTTTGTCTCCCATGTGGCGATGTTTACTTACGCGCTCAAAAAGATCCTTCAGTATAGCCTTAACAGACTGTTGGGGCAAGTGTTGTTAGCGAGCACCTATGGAGGCCGGCACGGCACACGAGGGGGTGGGTGGCCAACACCACGCCCGGCCGCCTTTGTCTCCCTAGAAGCGATGTTTTACACACCGCACCAGGTATTCAATTTAGGCTGAGTCAACCTAGGGGAGGCCCAGAACCGGTTAAAATAATCGTAACTGGTGTTGGCCGTGAGCGGGTATCGAAGCCGGGTCGCCAGGTTCGTAGCGCAGCACGCTAACCGCTACACTTCCGCTTCACACTTAAGCGCACACAACAACCACCATTCGCCACTAAGTGGCGGTGACATCCCCACAACGCTTGTGGCAGGCAATGTGCACGTTGAGGCCACGTGAAGTGTTGAACGCCCGCTGGCAGGTCACGGGACAGACCCAGGTGCCACGGGTCGACTGACTGAGATGACTGGCTGACGCACCACCTGTGCCCCCTACTGTGCCAACTTGCTGTGCTTTAGCCACCCGGCGCTCCGCTCGTTGTTGTGCGTGTCGGTCCTCTGCCCTTCGTTGTTGTTGGAGGGCGACTGCCTCCAACTGCCCATTAGCGTCCTTCACGAGCCTCCTCCACAGAGGTCGATATTGACACCGCAGGTACCAATCATCGGCAAGTCCACTCAACTCCACATCCTCCTATACCACATCACTCCATCTCTTCTCTAGCCCATGCCGCGCCCGTTTAGCCCCCTCGATCCGGCCGAAAAAAAGCTGTTTAGGCATGCGGGGACTGGGCATGCGGGCTACATGACCCAGCCAATGCAGCCTTGCCTGCCGGAGGAGCTCACCGATGGGACTTTGTCCAAATCTTTCAAGGATTTATGAGCTCCTCACACAATCCAGCTTGGTTAAACCCAGGATGGATGGTAGGCAGGCCAGCCTAAATGTCTTTAACTGGTTAAGATGTTCCATTAGGGGGGTCCACGTTTCGCAAGCGTAGAAAAGGGAGGGAATGACCATGGCTGAGAAGACCTGAAGCTTCGTACGGAGCTACAGACCAGGTAGCTTCCACACAGCGTTAAGCAACCGATGAAAAGATAATGCCGCTCGACTGATTTGGAGTGATACCTCTGCTGTCACACCGGAGCCGGTCATGAGCACACTGCCCAGATATTGCAAACTCTCCACTCTCTCCACAACTGCCCCATCACCAATTGGGAAATTGGGAGTTGTGGGGGTGGAGTGTCCGATGGTACAAAATACCCAGGCAGGTGCTTAGTTTTGGTGGGGCTGATGGTAATGCGTCACCTCTTAGTGGCACACTCCAGGTTCAGCAGCAATGCCTCCAACTCCTCATTTGAGTGAGCAGCAATTACCAGATCATCGGCATACATAACGTGGTTGACCAATAGGGAGCCATCCCTTGATTGTACCTGGGCATCAATCAGCTTCCCATTGTATCTGTACCAGATGTAAATTCCTCCCGTAGAGCCATCGAAGGCTTCACGAACTACGTGGTCGAAAAATATGTTAAATAATGTGGGAGCCAGAGGACATCCCCGTCGCACCCCAAGGTGAACAGGGAATGGCTCCGATTCCCGGCCACGTAGTTTTACCCGGGCCCGCTCACCATAATGAAGGTCCTTAATGAGCGTCAGCAGAGGGTCAGGGACTCCGAAAGCTCGAAGAATAACCCAGGGCCCAGGCCTACTGATGGTATCATAAGCCTTGACCAGGTCAATAAAGCAGAGATGTAGGTTTTGTTGGAATTCCCTACACCTTTGCTGTAGCAGACGGACAGAAAATATGGCATCTCTGCAGGGCCACCGTTTCCTGAAACCGCATTGGGGCTCTGCAAGCCTCTCCTCAGCGTGCCTGGTAAGGCGATGTTGAATAATCCTTGCCAGGACCTTTCCTGGCACACTGAGGAGTGAGATGCCCCAGTAGTTGTTACAGTCTGTGCGGTCCCCCTTCTTAAAGAGGGGGACCACCAGGGGATCTTTCCAATCCTGCGGAACCCGTCCAGTGGTCCAGACTGTTATTACGATGTCATATAGGGCAGTCTCTGCACAAACGCCACCCTCCCTCAGCATTTCGCTTGGGAGATTATCTCTGCCCGGTGCCTTTCCTGGTCTCAGACTCCAGATCGCCCTTAGTACTTCCTCAACAGATAGCACCTCAGCCAGCCACTCACAGGGGGTGACTTCTTCTTCTAATATTTGAGACACTGCATTTTCAGCAAGGTCATCCCCACTTTGTCCCACGATGTTTTCCATGCCGAGTGATTTCCCCTCCCCCAGGACTTCACAGAAATGCTCAGCAAATCTGCAAACCTGTTCCTGGGGGTCGGAGATTGGATCACCATTTTTTTCCCTAATGATGGTAATCGGTGTGGCACTGCAGGTAACTTTTTTTATGGAGTTAAATAGCGATTTGTGATCACGGGCCACTGAGGCAGACTCCATCTCCTCAGCAACCCGCGACCACCACCCATCCTTGCAGCACCTCACGGCTCTCCGAACCTCTGAGCGAAGGCTTTAAGCACACGCACACACGCACACACATGCGGGTGGTACGAGCCCAGCATCCCCCACACAGACAGCCGTACGGACTGATAGCGGGGGCGTATGTGGGCTAGTGTGGTGGGGATAGTACCACACCCACCCACCTTTGTCTCTCCCCGCGTGTACGTCTGTGTTGAGACGTGTGTGCATGTATTGAGACACGTGTGTGTTCAGACTCACGTGTGTGCGTATATGTGTGTTGAGACGCGTGCACGTCTGTGTTGAGGCACGTGTGTGCATGTACGGCTATTTAGGCACGTGTGCGGGTGTATGTGTGTGTTCAAGCCCGTATGTGTGCGTTGAGACTCGCGTGTGTATGTGCTTGTAGAGGCGCCTGCGTTTCTATGTGCGTGTACGTCTGTGTTGAGACGTGCGTGTATATGTGTGCGTTGAGGCGCGTGTGTATATGTTTGTACAGGCGCGTGTGTGTGTGTTCGTGTACGTCTGTGTTGAGTCGTGCGTGTGTATGTGTACGTCTGTGTTGAGTCGTGCGTGTGTATGTGTACGTCTGTGTTGAGTCGTGCGTGTGTATGTGTACGTCTGTGTTGAGTCGTGTGTGTGTTCGTGTACGTCTGTGTTGAGTCGTGCGTGTGTATGTGTACGTCTGTGTTGAGTCGTGCGTGTGTATGTGTACGTCTGTGTTGAGTCGTGCGTGTGTTCGTGTACGTCTGTGTTGAGTCGTGCGTGTGTATGTGTACGTCTGTGTTGAGTCGTGCGTGTGTATGTGTACGTCTGTGTTGAGTCGTGTGTGTGTTCGTGTACGTCTGTGTTGAGTCGTGCGTGTGTATGTGTACGTCTGTGTTGAGTCGTGCGTGTGTATGTGTACGTCTGTGTTGAGTCGTGCGTGTGTATGTGTACGTCTGTGTTGAGTCGTGCGTGTGTATGTGTACGTCTGTGTTGAGTCGTGCGTGTGTTCGTGTACGTCTGTGTTGAGTCGTGCGTGTGTATGTGTACGTCTGTGTTGAGTCGTGCGTGTGTATGTGTACGTCTGTGTTGAGTCGTGTGTGTGTTCGTGTACGTCTGTGTTGAGTCGTGCGTGTGTATGTGTACGTCTGTGTTGAGTCGTGCGTGTGTATGTGTACGTCTGTGTTGAGTCGTGCGTGTGTATGTGTACGTCTGTGTTGAGTCGTGCGTGTGTATGTATTCGTTGAAGCATGTGTGCGCTTGTGCGCCGTGCGTACAGTTCGTCAGGGCAGTACTCGGGCTGGGGCAGCCGGCGGCCCTGACGCAGGAAGCGCGCCATGTCGAATGGGTCCACGTCGGGGTAGGGGGGCGCCCCCCGGGTCTGCAGCTCCCACAGCAGAATGCCAAACGACCACTGCGAGGACATTAAAGACAAAGACCTCTCGTGTAGCCTTAGCAGACTGTTGGGGCGCACGAGGGGCTGGCCGGCCAGCACCACGCTCGACCGCCTTCCTCTCCCCAGTGGCGACCGGTACACACCGTACCAGGTACTCATTTGAGGCTGAGTTGACCTAGGGGTCACGTGTGTATGTACGCACACACGTGTGCGTACGTGTGCACGCACACCACAGGTCACAACAACCCACCCACCCACTATATGCACGTGTGACAAATATATTCATACACATGTATGTGTATATAATACATATTTGTGTATGTAAATCTGTCATGCTTTAAACGATATCTGAATCCTATGTGACTCATTTAGACATTTATATCGCCTTCTTGCTCAGTTTAAAAAATCATTTTGCAGAGATCATTAATTAATACTCTGTGGTTCTTTCGGTAAAGTCACGTAGGTATAAAATAAAATAAATCACGACGTTTCGGGCGCAACACAAGCGTCCATCATCAGGTGGGAAAGCGTGGTCTGCTGCTGAGGCAGATGTATTTTATTTTCTACCTACGTGACTTAACCAAAAGAACCAAAGAGTGTGGATTCCTGCAGTCACGAAAGCTCCAAATCAAAATCATTAATTAAACTGCAATTATTACATCATTATTGCATCACTCCTTATTATAGCAGCCACCTTTCTCAACTGTGCGATATTTGTTTAACGTTTAACATAGTTTCATTGTTTCACGTCAGACGTTTCGCCCCACGCGCTAGGTAAGCCCTGAGCATGGGGAGTGATGGTCAGACATCGTCTGGAACTCATGGCAACTAAACCTAAAACACAATGGCGAGCATTTACAATCTTCAAGTGAAATTGATAAACATGTAATGCATTTGTTTCCATTAACACTGGCTTTCGTTGCCAATGTTAACATGATTTTTGGGTTCGGCACTGTAACGAACTCACCAAACTCGTGTTGTGAAGATGCTTGATGCAGTTGCAATCGAAGCGTCAAATTTAATAAAAAAATGTTCAACTTGCAAAACCGTTGACGACAATAAAAATTAATCATTACAGAAGGCCGGATAATTGCACATTTCTGGCAACTGGCGAGATGAAACAATGACAATTGGCGCTTTATAACGGCGATCAAAATGCAACAGTTAACTTGTGTCGGGTGGAGGAGGGTTTCACGGCACAAATTCGGCCAGTTCATTACGAGGCCGAAGCCCAAACAAAGCGTTATGACTTAATTTTCCCATCCGAAAGTCACTCACCACATCCGACTTGGTGGTGAACCTCTGCGTCTGCAGGCTCTCCAGCGCGATCCACTTGATGGGCAGCTTGGCCCGCTGGTGGTTGCGGATGCTGTAGTACTCCTTGTTGTAGATGTCCCTCGCCAGCCCGAAATCGGCCACCTTCACCGTGTAGCTCTCGTCCAGCCTGCGGGCCGGGTGGGCGCACGCGACAGCCGACGCACGCGTCAACCAAGTCACAGTGCAGTGTAACACGGCCACATGGTCAGTTCTATAGCGTTGGTGGCTGAGGCAAGGCTGAGAGCATTGTACGACCGTGCAATGTTTCCTCCATCCGTGTAGAGGACTCGGTCCACCAGACACTGACTGTTTAGTCTCAACCACCATACTGCAGGTTACATCATACTCACTCACCCACTCACTATCTACCTACCTACCAACCCACCCACCCATACACACCTACTCACCCACCCACCTACTCACCCACCCACCCACCTACCTGCTTAACCAGCTGGGTGGGTGATTCTAACCACAAACCCCTGCAACAAGCGCTGAACACGCTACCGCCGGATCACATCACCAGCGTTTGCGCATTCCTTCGTGTTTGACTGGTGATATATCCATATACATTTCACATAAAGGTCCAAAATCCAACAACCATGAAGGGTCTTACAAGTAGAATGCACAGATTTTGTTCTTAAAGGGAAAATAAAACATGTGATGGCTCCTCCCAAACATGCCAACTCCACTGCTGAGAAAGACAAGGGCAGAGGCCCCCGCGTGCAAATTCCACCGCCTCGGAGTTCCCCTCCGAGTTGCGCGCCGTCCGAACTCGGGACGAGCGTCGTCGCTCCCGCCATCGTCACGGGGACAGAATCGTGGAACTGTGAAGAAAATAACTTTGAAAAAACCACAAGTGGCAGTATCGCTGTGTGCGCAAACCCACATGCAGTTCCTGGCAGCCAGGTCTCTGTGCACGAACTTCTTACTGGCCAGGTACTCCATGCCCCGAGCCACTTGCAGCCCAAATCCGATCAGGTCCTTAACCGTGGGATTCTGTTCATAGGAAGGCAAACACAACCCACAAATAATAATATTAATTATAAGTGCAATTATACGGCGCTTGCTGAAATAATTGCCTCGGCATGTAAAAGCGACTTACGTCACATCTCATATAAACATTCGAAGGGCACCCCCGGTGGCAGCTGTCCCCGTGCTGCAGAAGGTGACTCGGAGCCTGGCCTGCGAGCAAGCATCAGTCTGCCAGTGGGGTGGTGGGGGGGGGGCGACGTTGCTGCGTGTTTCCCAAGCGAGTCATTCGCAAGTAATTTTTCTATTTTGGACCGTGACGCCGGCACACAACGGCCGACTACGCATTTCAAATGACAGCGTCACTCACGGGTTCTTTAACGTCCACCGTGAAGCAGACGGCGCGTGGTATTCTACAGCTTGTCCCACCGCAGTAGTATCTAGGATGGCCTGCCAGATAAGAATCACGAACCTCTGCAACGAGCGGTGAACGCGCTGCCGCTGGACCACGATAACAAATTGGGTTTCATAAATAAAAGTGGATTATCACTCAAAACGAACGTGGGTCGACAGGCATCTCCTGGTTACAACCCTGGTGGAAATTCCACATTTTTTTCCCCACTGGCTCTATATTCATGTCTTCGCTCTGATTGCTATTTGGTTTGTTTTAAACTGGTTTCTATTTGTTTCATTGTTTTATTTGGTTTCTATGTTCTCGCTTTCGTCAATTTGGTGACCCAGGTCAGTTCAATCTTGCAACTTAAGGCTCTATCCTGGTCTCTTGAGTTCTTACCCGGTTAAAAAAAAAATAACCGAACTTTAAAAGCTCGTGAGGACACAGCCTAGAGGAGGCCGACGCTTAGGCACCCACGTGCGTCTCCTGCCGCAGGAAGTGCCCCAGGTCTCCGTGCTTCATGTAGGGCAGCACCACGAGCGGAGTTCCGTGTAGCGGCATGCAGATGCCGAGCAGAGACAAGACGTTCTCGTGCTGGAAGTTCTTCATGAGCAGACCCTCCCTCAGGAACTGCTCTACCTCCTCAACGTCCGTGATTCCTGTTGGCCCAATAAAAATCCTCATCAATAACGTCGTCGGCAACGTCAACATCGTCAACAACCATCACACTGTAAGTCACAACATTAACTGCGATCGTTATCAGCGTCGCCATCGCCACCGCCGTTGTCAATGCCGCCACCAGTGGGAACCACATGAGTGCTTTCGTTGGTGCGCACTGTGACCGCTACCGTCTTGAGTCAGAAGACTCTCAAAGTGGCATTTGTCAGTGATGGGTACATGAATGGGAGAACACGCCAATCCCGGATATGCAGAATCGGCAACAGATATCACCAACGGAGCAACCAGTAACATGATCGTTGTAATAACAATGTATTATTACTATTATTATCATCCTTACCATAACGGCATCCTTCAAAAAATATTCTGATTAGTGCTGAACACAACTGCATTTGCGAATGTGATTTGTAACTTTCCTCCTTACTCATGTATCGATAGTTACATTTTAATGTGCGATTTTATTGAGGAACTGTGTGTTGTCTTGGTGTGGTCTTGCTGTTTATTTGCTGCCTTGTCCAAGCTTGGGAATTGGTATGCTTATGCAATTTAAACTTTCTACTTTATCTATTCTGTGTATTTTTTAAATTTTCTTTCCTTTCCAATACTTTGCACTGCTATTGTGTGCTTGTATTGTTTGCTGTTGTAACTTTCTGACCTGTCCCTGTTGGACATTTGTGAAAAAGAGCTTCATAGCCCAGCAGATTTCTCCAGAATAAATAAAGACTTTAATTCTGACAATGCCATCGTCATAAATCATCAGAATAAATTAATGAAGACCATCAAAATGATCAAATTCATAATCGTGGTCAATGGCATACCCATAATCAATTATAAATTATCCACCATCATCAGTCTAATCAACTCAATATCCCCACAGCATCACCATTATCACCACCACCAAAACCATCTGAATAACATTCATCGACACTATCATCATCGTGAGCATCGGTGAAATAATCATCAGGACTATCAATGCAATCATCATCACCATCAATGCTCGTCATCTTTAATCATCAATCAACCTCACCACAATCACAACCTTCGACCTCACAGCTGCCTATGACAAGCCTGGCATGCACGGGGGTCACCCAACTGAGTGCTATCCGCGCAGGCTAAATCCTGCTTAGCTTGCGAGACGTGACGAGAGCACAGATGTGGTCATGGGTGCAAGCCGACTCGATTTGTATGCTCGCCTACAAGGAGACGGGCGCACCGAGTGTGAATGCTCACTCACTGCTCAGGCACTTGACAGCGCAGCGCACCGTGCGGCCCGTGTTGTTCGTCAGCACCCCGCGGTACACGCAGCCAAAGTGACCTGGAGCACAAGGGGCACGGGATCATGGGCTCCGTGTTAAATAACAATGACGACGTCAACTTGTCACGGGCCACCACCGCCCTGCGTCCGCTCACCCTCGTAGACCGAGAACGGCTCAAAGGGGCAAGGTGCAACCACGAACGAGCCGGGAAAGCAGCGGCCAGATAGAGAGCCGTCACCAACAATTGCCGAATCTTTGCAGTCCTCAATATATAATGGTGTTGTTAGTTTCACGAGTGGGAAGAAAACAAAGCACCTTGAGAAAACCCACGGCACGTCATCACACCTTATCACGTCCGCATGATACCGCATATAGTTTTTATAAACCTGTTGATCGGATAAGAGAAATATAAAGCACAAGAATACAGTCTTATTAGAGTAATCCCTACTACAGTCTTATTAGAGTAATCCCTACTACAGTCTTATTAGAGTAATCGCTACTACAGTCTTATGAGAGCAATCCCTACTACAGTCTTATTAGAGTAATCCCTACTACAGTCTTATTAGAGTAATCCCTACTACAGTCTTATTAAAGTAATCCATATTACAGTCTTATTAGAGTAATCCCTACTACAGTCTTATTAGAGTAATCCCTACTAGAGTCTTATTAGAGTAATCCCTACTACAGTCTTATGAGAGTAATCCCTACTACAGTCTTATTAGAGTAATCCCTACTACAGTCTTATTAGAGTAATGCCTACTACAGTCGTATTAGAGTAATCCCTACTACAGTCTTATTAGAGTAATCCCTACTACAGTCGTATTAGAGTAATCCCTACTACAGTCTTATTAGAGTAATCCCTACAACAGTCTTATTCGAGTAATCCGTACTACAATCTTATTAGAGTAATCCCTACTACAGTCTTATTAGAGTAATCCCTACTACAGTTTTATTAGAGTAATCCCTACTACAGTCTTATTAGAGTAATCCCTACTACAGTCTTATGAGAGTAATCCCTACTACAGCCTTATTAGAGTAATCCCTACTACAGTCTTATTAGAGTAATCCCTACTACAGTCGTATTAGAGTAATCCGTACTACAGTCTTATTAGAGTAATCCCTACTACAGTCTTATTAGAGTAATCCCTACTACGGTCTTATTAGAGTAATCCCTACTACAGTCTTATGAGAGTAATCCCTACTACAGTCTTATTAGAGTAATCCCTACTAAATGCATCTACTGTATACCACCAACGCTGTGGGTATCACACAGTAACACTGTGGGTATCACCCAGTATCACTGTGGGTATCACACAGTAACACTGTGGGTATCACACAGTAACACTGTGGGTATCACCCAGTATCACTGTGGGTATCACACAGTAACACTGTTGGTATCACACAGTATCACTGTGGGTATCACACAGTAACACTGTGGGTATCGCCTAGTAACACTGTGAGTATCACACAGTAACACTGTGGGTATCACACAGTAACACTGTGGGTATCACACAGTAACACTGTGGGTATCACCCAGTAACACTGTGGGTATCACCCAGTATCACTGTGGGTATCACCCAGTAACACTGTGGGTATCGCCTAGTAACACTGTGAGTATCACCCACTGTGGGTATCACCCAGTAACAGTGTGGGGATCACACAGTAACACTGTGGGTATCACACAGTATCACTGTGGGTATCACCCAGTAACACTGTGGGTATCGCCTAGTAACACTGTGAGTATCACCCACTGTGGGTATCACACAGTAACACTGTGGGTATCACACAGTAACACTGTGGGTATCACACAGTATCACTGTGGATATCACCCAGTAACACTGTGGGTATCACCCACTGTGGGTATCACCCAGTAACAGTGTGGGGATCACACAGTATCACTGTGGGTATCACACAGTAACACTGTGGGCATCACCCAGTAACACTGTGGGGATCACCCAGTAACACTGTGGGTATCACCCCGTAACGCTGTGGGTATCACCCAGTAACACTGTGGGTATCACCCAGTAACACTGTGGGTATCACCCAGTATCACTGTGGGTATCACACAGTAACACTGTGGGTATCACCCAGTAAAACTGTGGGTATCACCCAGTAACACTGTGGGTATCACAGAGTAACAGTGTGGGTATCACACAGTAACACTGTGGGTATCACCCAGTAACACTGTGGGTATCACCCACTGTGGGTATCACCCAGTAACACTGTGGGTATCACACAGTAACACTGTGGGTATCACACAGTAACACAGTGGGTATCACCCACTGTGGGTATCACCCAGTAAAACTGTGGGTATCACCCAGTAACACTGTGGGTATCACCCCGTAACGCTGTGGGTATCACCCAGTAACACTGTGGTTATCACACAGTAACACTGTGGGTATCACCCAGTAACACTGTGGGTATCACCCAGTATCACTGTGGGTATCACACAGTAACACTGTGGGTATCACCCAGTAAAACTGTGGGTATCACCCAGTAACAGTGTGGGTATCACACAGTAACGCTGTGGGTATCACCCAGTAACACTGTGAGTATCACCCAGTAACACTGTGGGTATCACCCAGTAACATTGTGGGTATCACCCAGTAACAGTGTGGGTATCACCTAGTAACACTGTGGGTATCACCCAGTAACACTGTGGGTATCACCCAGTAACAGTGTGGGTATCACACAGTAACGCTGTGGGTATCACCCAGTAACACTGTGGGTATCACCCAGCAACACTGTGGGTATCACCCAGTAACACTGTGGGTATCACCCAGTAACAGTGTGGATATCACACAGTAACACTGTGTGTATCACCCAGTAACACTGTGGGTATCACCCAGTAACACTGTGAGTATCACCCAGTAACACTGTGGGTATCACCCAGTAACACTGTGGGTATCACCCAGTAACACTGTGGGTATCACACAGTAACACTGTGGGTATCACCCAGTAACACTGTGGGTATCACCCAGTAACACTGTGGGTATCACCCAGTAACACTGTGGGTATCACCCAGTAACGCTATGGGTATCACCCAGTAACACTGTGGGTATCACCCAGTAACACTGTGGGTATCACCCAGTAACACTGTGGGTATCACCCAGTAACACTGTGGGTATCACCCAGTAACAGTGTGGGTATCACCCAGTAACAGTGTGGGTATCCCACAGTAACACTGTGGGTATCACCCAGTAACACTGTGGGTATCACCCAGTAACACTGTGGGTATCACCCAGTAACACTGTGGGTATCACCCAGTAACACTGTGGGTATCACCCAGTAACACTGTGGGTATCACACAGTAACACTGTGAGTATCACCCAGTAACACTGTGGGTATCACACAGTAACACTGTGGGTATCACCTAGTAACACTGTGGGTATCACCCAGTAACACTTTGGGTATCACCCAGTAACACTGTGGGTATCACCCAGTAACACTGTGGGTATCACCTAGTAACACTGTGGGTATCACCCAGTAACACTTTGGGTATCACCCAGTAACACTGTGGGTATCACCCAGTAACACTGTGGGTATCACCCACTGTGGGTATCACCCAGTAACACTGTGGGTATCACCCAGTAACACTGTGGGTATCACCCACTGTGGGTATCACCCAGTAACACTGTGGGTATCACCCAGTAACACTGTGGGTATCACCCAGTAACACTGTGGGTATCACCCACTGGGGGTATCACCCAGTAACACTGTTGGTATCACCCAGTAACGCTGGGGGTATCACCCAGTAACACTGTGGGTATCACCCAGTAACGCTGGGGGTATCACCCAGTAACACTGTGGGTATCACCCAGTAACACTGTGGGTATCACCCAGTAACACTGTGGGTATCACCCAGTAACACTGTGGGTATCACCCAGTAACACTGTGGGTATCACCCAGTAACACTGTGGGTATCACCCAGTAACACTGGGGGTATCACCCAGTAACACTGTGGGTATCACCCAGTAACACTGGGGGTATTGCCCATCGCCCAGTAACACTGCAGGCAGAGCAGTAGCCCTCACCGCATGACACTGTCGGCGTGAGCCGTGCTGCACTACCTTTCCCGATCATCTTGTCCACCTGCAGGTGTCCCTCCAGGATGAGCAGGTGCTTGACCTCCTGGAGGAGGTCGCCGTCCAGGCATGCGTGCTGCTCGTGCGTCTCCATGCCGGATCCCTCCGTGGCGAGCGCCCTCAGCTGCGGGGGCAGCGGGTGGCACGGGACGGAGCCCTGGCCGTCGTCACTGTCCGAGTCGACGGTCCTATCCGGTGACGTCGCGGAGCCCAGGAAGCACGGCAGCCCGGCGGGGCCCGCGTCTCCCCCGCCGCGCAGCGCCGCGTAGACGTTGTCGTGCGCGAACGAGCGGCGCTGGGCGGCTCCTGGCGCCGCGTCGACTTGCGGGGCCGGAGGTCGCACCGAGGGACGTGACCGCCCGGGCTCCAGGAGCGCGCCGAGCCGCGTGCCGGGCTCCGCCGCCGCGCCGAAGCGCAGCCGCGGCTTTCCACCGCCTGTCGCCGACAGCGAGCTCCGTTAGTTTGCCCCGCGGCAGTGACCACGCACCTCGGCGGCTGGACGATTGCAACAACGATCGCGATGAACGCAAACGAAAATGCTGCGATGATCGCGATTGACGGTGGCGATGATGACGGTGGCGGCGGCAATCGATGACGTTGTTGATGCTGATCACGACAATGAGGCCTACCAACGACGCCCCTCTTCTTTAGCAGCAGCCACAGCAGCACAAGGCATCCCAGCAGCAGCACGGTGACCGCCAGCGAGCCAGCCAGCCAGGGTGCGGTGTTGGGGACCGGCTCCGCCAGCAGTAGCCACCCCGGCTCCAGATGCAGGTTCCCCACACGCACCTGTACTCGCGCACGAGGCCAACGTGACTGCTGGACACCCTCGAAGCAGAATTTAAATTTCAACCTAAAACGCGCCGCCGCCACCAAGCGATGTTCACCGACTCGGGAAGAGAGAGCGGGAGAACGACTCTGCGGCGGAGGTGCCACAAGGAGCCACGGACGACCGGAAAGGCGGCCAGGCAATGAGCCGCGAACAACAATTACCCGAGCTCTGTGGTCCTCCATGTATTTAAATGTTTACAGCCAAGAAAGGAGTGTTTACGCGTGGGAAGAGACCAGAGCAACAGGAGAAAACGCACGCATGCGAGGGAGCAACACTCTTTCCCATGCAAAGTCCACATTGTTACTGTACCGCCAGGCACCTCAAAGCCCACGGGAAGGGAGTGTCACAACATTGGTGCCTCCACCGTGCTGCTGGGTTACAGGCCACGTGCAGCGTAGCCACCACTTTCCTGCGTTCCCTCACGAGGGATTTTCAAAGTTTAATATTCTATCCATAAGTGGTTTTTGGGATAGATAAATATAAATGTGTCGTTAAATCTTCCACCACCTGACACAGCCAATTAGTAAGGTTTGTCATGTAAACAAAACATGCCAGTACTAGTACGGAACACAAGTGTGTTGGAGAGTAAACCCACAACGTTTACAATTCGAGTACGACGTTTCGCCAATAATTACCACCAGCATCATTCGACGACAGCCAAAGTTGTGAAGAAATCCTCCTGCTTCGGCCTTAGAGGGATAAATGTGATGTCATCACTTGTGAGCCAATCAGGTGCAAAGGCCGGAGGGGGGGGGGGGTAATGTTGCATCTAAATTACAATGGATATCCATTTACCGGTTGGGTTATTTAGTGGGTAATCAACATACATTATGCATTAACATTTTGCATGCCTGTATATTTTGCATTTTTGGGTGCAAGAAATCGCAATACCTGTTGTCTGCTCAAAGTGAATCACCATCCACGTATGGTGACCTGTATAGGCATGCAGTTAAAACCCAAAAACCTCTATTATGGATAATATCGATCGCGAAAAACCTACGTGTTAAATTTAAATAGTTTAATAATTAAAAGATGCCAGGGACAGTCTAAGACGTAAGAATAAGGATTTAAATGTGTTTGTTGCTTTGATGGCAGGTCTCCAGGCACTGCAAAGTGCAGTAAAAAATACGCAGCACCTAGGTATGGTACGTCCCCACAACTGTTATGTATTTTTATTTATATTAATGCTCACTGGAAGTGTCTCTCTGCTCAAGTGAATGTAACGGAATGCTCTTTTAGTGGCCCTGAGCCAGTGGTGCAAGTTCCACATTGCCATGGCAGGTACAAATCTATCAGTAAGACATTCACTCATGGTGAATAAATATCAACGACGGCCTCTCCACGCGATCGCCATCGTTCACGGTCTCCCAAAGCCACGATCCATATCGCCCCCGATACTCGGGCTGACTTTGCCCCCCCAGTGGTCGTCCCCTCTGGTGCGTCCCCGACTTCAGCTGCCAGTCTCGGACACCGACCGCCGCCATCCCTTCGAGCGACGTGCCCCGGCCAGGGCCCCCTGGCTCTACGTCACGTTCATCGCAACAGCGCGCCTCTACGTCCCCCTTCTCATCTCTCGTCGTTCCGAGCGCGCATCTCTCCATGCTTTTTAGTGCACCTTTTTGGCTTTTTGTACCATTATCTTTAGTCGGTGACCGTGTTTGTGATTCGTATAGCATGGCAGGTTCTACACGCCCGCCGATTTAAATACTTTCCTTCTCTGGGCACATTGATCTCATGGACCATCACGCAAACTCCGTTCATCCTCGCAGCGGCTTTTGGCTAACCATCGAACAAAGACGGTTGCCGTATCGCGCTCTTTCAGACGAGCTTCTGAAGCCGTCCGGAAATCTCTACCTTCCGATATCAGGAAGCCACTGGAGCCATGCACTTTTAAATCATCTGTATTGAAAACGTATTTCTTTAGAACTGCTTTTTGTGTGTAGTATGTTGTTCTTCCCCCGCATCTCTGATTAGCTCGGTTGGCTACGTACGGTGGGAAAGAAGTTCAACATACGTACCAACGTACACGTACATTTGTACATTGCTCTCATTAACGAGTCCAGCTTGCCAAGAACGCTTCCAACCTGACGCAGTTCGCCTATTCACGTCACTGTTTTCAATCCCGGACCGCGAGCGGGCACCTGTACGGCGAGGCCCTCGGGGCCCGAGCGGAGCCCCGGCGGGACCGTGCAGTTGATGAAGTTGGCCGATAGCCGCACGTCGGTGCAGGCCTCGACCCCCAGGCTCACCGCCACCTCCGCGCTCGTGGCCGACAGGTTCAGGTTCTGGCCCTGCATGAGAAGGAGAACAAGGCGACAATGGCTGCCGTTTAAAACTCAACGTGGTGGCTCGCAGGAGACAGATCCACTGGGAAGGGGGGGAGGGGGCGGGGCGACTGCCTACCCCCATTTATATTTATCACAAAAGATATGTTGAATGTTTTACTTTTCTAACGAATGTAAGGAATGGAAGGCCTTTAATAAAATGCTTGACATTTTGTGGGACCGCCCCAGAGCTCGCACCGCCGCATTTGATCCCAAGATGTAGTTCCACGATATCCGCTTCCGTGGGATTATTCTCTAGCGTTAAGGGTTGTGGAGAATATAAGTAACGCAATAAATATACAGACTCCTTCCTCTATCCGGCTTCTTCCACGTAACTTGCATTCTCGGCAACGACGCTCATGATTTATTTCGGGCTATGTAACAACGCGATGGAAGCAACCGGAAAGAGTGGAAGACCTAACAGAGAATGGCCTGACGACGACAGAAGAAATTGCTGCCACAAAGAAGCGGCCACTACTTGAGCGTCTTGGCACAAGACAGAGGAAAGTGGAAACAAATAACGAAATGTGCAGTGGACACCTACGGGCCATCTGCCCATGGATCGTGATGGTGATGATGATGATGATGATATAACAACGTGGCGGTGGCTCGCCTTCCCACCACGTGGTAGCCGTGTCGCTGCCCACCTCGAGGCTCAGCGTGCGGACGCCGCTCGACATCCGCAGCAGCCTCCGGCCGGCGGCGTCATCGTCATCGCGGAAGGCGGCGAGCGCCGGGTCGGCCATGTAGGAGAAAGGGAAGGCCCGCGGGTTGCCCATCGCCAGCGACACCGTGGCCGTGGCTGGCAGGCGGCGTGGCTTGCCCGCGGCGCTGCCGTTCGGCGGTAGCGGCGGTGCGATGCAGGTCATTACGTCGCCGTGCGCCGTCGCCTCGCAGGCCTGGGGGGATGGGGGGGGAAACGAAGATCTGGGTGACACGGGAGGCGGGACGGAAGGCACCATATGTGGGGACGTCGACAGAGAGGGTGACGACGGGAGGGAGGCGTGACAGCGATGAGTCTGCAGGGGACAGCAGAAGGGGCGAGTTGCAAGTGTTCTGTTTATTGTTGGACCTGGGTGAAAACCCGAGAGGTCATTTGCAAAGGTCACCTGAATCACAGCAGAACGACAAAAAGCAACACGTAGCAGTCGAACCGTGAATTCAAAATAAATTTTAAACGGTTCAGAAACGTAAGAAATCGTATATATGTATCAGAAAAAAGTTTTGCTGAATGGTGGGCAGGCGAATGAGTCGGGATTGTGCGTCGCACTGACGCCACACCTCCTCCGCACCCACTTCCCCCCCCCCAACACTGGGTACTCCAGTTTCCTTCCACTTCTATAATAAACACACCCTTCATTAAACGGCTGAAAACATCTTAAAATAAACACAAAATGCAGAACCCTCCTGAACAAGAGGCATATGACTCAGCGTGGCTTTGTTGGATAAATAACAATTATTTTATATAATTATGGAATGTAATTATTTGTATTATTATAAATATTCAGGGCAGGGACACAGACCTAAAATTAAAAACCTCCCCAACCATCGTCCTTACCACCGCCCTTCAAGCATTTCATGAACCAGCTCCTGCTCAGGGGACAGCGGATAGATCACAGCCGATAACAATGATGCTGTTGCTGCCGCCGATTCTCACCGCTCTCAGAAGCTCGTCCGTGTCGAGGTGCACGACCAACTCGGGGCTCTCCACCGAGTCCAGGTTCACTCCCCGCACAGTGAGGACTCTCCCACCGCTGCCATCGCATTCACACAGAGGGAGACAGAGCTCGCGAGAGGAACACGATGCCACCCGGCGCTCGCGAGAGGAACACGGTGCCACCCGGCACTCACGAGAGGAACGCGGTGCCACCCGGCGCTCGCGAGACGAACACGGTGCCACCCGGCACTCACGAGAGGAACGCGGTGCGACCCGGGCCTCACAAGACGAACGCGGTGCCACCCGGCACTCACGAGAGGAACGCGGTGCCACCCGGCACTCACGAGAGGAACGCGGTGCCACCCGGCACTCACGAGAGGAACGCGGTGCAACCCAACACTCACGAGAGGAACACGGTGCCACCCGGCGAGTACGAGAGGAACACGGTGCCACCCGGCACTCACGAGAGGAACGCGGTGCCACCCGGCGCTCACGAGACAAACACGGTGGCACCCGGCACTCACGAGAGGAACACGGTGCCACCCGGCACTCACGAGAGGAACGCGATGCCACCCGGCACTCACGAGATGAACACGGTGCCACCCGGCGCTCACGAGAGGAACACGGTGCCACCCGGCACTCACGAGACGAACACGGTGCCACCCGGCGCTCGCGAACAGCACCCACCATGCAGCCACGGTGGCTAGGAGATGTTAACTCCCTCTCTTGGAATGCAGGAAGTCGTGGGTTCGATCCCGACCCTGAAGCCTGCTGAATATTTGGAGTATGCATGTTTTCTCTCCCAATGATCGTGTGCGTGTAGAGAATTTGGCTGCAATAAATTTCCACGTGATAAGCCACTTCTTTGAACAATACCTTGTAGCTAGGTGGCTTCTAAAAAAAGCTATATAGTTCAGTGGGCATTACCTGGTAACATAAAAAATAATATATTAGTTTAGCCACCCGCCCCGGCTGGTGCCACATCGTTAGGGCTGAGATATGGGCTGTATTGTGGGGAGAGTGAGAGGTGCTAATGTTAGCGTAAGGACCGATGGCCGATTGCATACAACCATACAACCACCTTTTCTGGAAGTGTCTATTCGCAGGCCACGTGCTGCGTCACCTTGTGCCACGCAAGGACAGCCGTCACCGGGAAGGGGTCCTCGATTGATCGTGGGACGTTTATTATTGTTAACGTTGTTTATAGAGTGGAATTTAGATTTTAATAAATCAATATCTGCAGGACCGTGCATCCCACCCGCCCTGCCCGCCATCGCGCGGCATTGCCGTTAGGTAGCTGATGTGACGTTCAACGCATTGGGGGTAAGTGGGGGAGCGGAGGCGCCGAGCTACAAACTTCCCACGGGTGGGGGGGGGGGGGGAGATGGAAGGTTAAGGGGTGACTGTCTCAAAATGTCGAGCTTTTTAAAGAGGGCTCCCCCACATTCTTAGGGCCCTAAGTTAATAATGACATTAATTCATGATGAAGGTCACTCCTGATTTCTTTCGCGAAAATATGTCAGTCGTTAAGTCTCAATGAGTGGGGGCGCCACCACCCCCATCACCCCCCTCCCCCGCCTCGGGGCCCTCCTGGACAGCCACTTCACAGTGGAGTTAATGTGGTGTGTGTGGGTGTATGGTGTGTGTGGTGTGTGTGGTGTGCGTGGTGTGTGTGGTGTGTGTGGTGTGTGGGGTAGGCAGGGTGTGTGTGGTGTGTGTGGTGTGTGGGGTGGGCAGGGTGTGTGGGGTGTGTGTGGTGTATGTGGTGTGTGTGGTGTGCGTGGTGTGTGTGGTGTGCGTGGTGGGCAGGGTGTGTGTGGTGTGTGTGGTGTGTGTGGTGTGTGTGGTGTGCGTGGTGGGCAGGGTGTGTGTGGTGTGTGGTGTGTGTGGTGTGTGTGGTGTGCGTGGTGTGTGTGGTGTGTGGGGTAGGCAGGGTGTGTGGGGTGTGTGTGGTGTGTGGGGTGTGTGGGGTGTGCGTGGTGTGTTGTGTGTGGGTGTGCGGGGTGTGTGTGGTGTGCGTGGTGTGTGGGGTGGGCAGGGTGTATATGGTGTGTGTGGTGTGCATGGTGTGTGTGGTGTGTGGGGTGTGTGTGGTGTGTGGGGTGTGTGTGGTGAGCAGGTGTGTGTGGTGTGCGTGGTGTGTGGGGTGTGCGTGGTGTGTGGGGTGGGCAGGGTGTGTGTTGTGTCGTGTGCGGGGTGTGTGTAGTGTGTGGTAGGCAGGGTGTATATGATGTGTGTGGTGTGTGTGGTGTGTGGGGTGGGCAGGGTGTATATGGTGTGTGTGGTGTGCATGGTGTGTGGGGTGGGCAGGGTGTATATGGTGTGTGTGGTGTGCATGGTGTGTGGTGTGTGGTATGCGTGGTGTGTGGGGTGTGCGGGGTGTATATGGTGTGTGTGGTGTGCATGGTGTGTGGTGTGTGGGTGTGCGGGGTGTGTGGTGTGCGGGGTGTTCGTGGTGTGCGTGGTGTCCATGGTGTGCGGGGTGTGTGGTGTGCGGGGTGTTCGTGGTGTGCGTGGTGTCCGTGGTGTGCGTGGTGTGTGGTGTGCGGGGTGTTCGTGGTGTGCGTGGTGTCCGTGGTGTGCGGGGTGTGTGGTGTGCGGGGTGTTCGTGGTGTGCGTGGTGTCCGTGGTGTGCGTGGTGTGTGGTGTGCGGGGTGTTCGTGGTGTGCGTGGTGTCCGTGGTGTGCGGGGTGTGTGGTGTGCGGGGTGTTCGTGGTGTGCGTGGTGTCCGTGGCGTGCGTGGAGTGTGTATGGTATGCGGCGCGGTGCGTAGCAAGGCACCTGGCGGCGCTCACGGAGGGCTCCAGGGCCAGCGCCACAGGGTCCGGCGCGTACTTGAAGGAGGCGCCGTTGGGCATCGTGCGCGTCGCCCCGTCGATCCGCAGCGTCACCTCGTGTCCCGCCGGGACGCCCGCCACTGCCGCCTCTGGCGGCGTCACACACTCCAGCAGCTCGGAGCTCACTCTGCCCATGGCACACGGCACAGAACGTCGGGCTGACGACCGGCGTGGCGTCGGAACACGAACGCGGGCACGGACCGCGCGGGATACTCGGCACAGTGCGGCGTGCAGGAGGGCGTGGGTTCGATCCCGGACCCTGACGATGCCTATTGCATATCTGGAGTGCGCGTGTTCTCTATCCTCTTGATGACCGAGGGATTTTCGTTTCTGTGCTCCTCTGGATTTGGCCCCTTCACGTTTAGAAACAACACGAGCTTAGATTATTCGGCTGCAACTATGAATTCCCACATCTGATGATGTAAGCCACTTTGATGAGATATCATAATGTGTGGCCAGGTCACCTTTGAACAAGAGCTAATACCTCAGCAGGCTCTTACCTGGTAAATAAAATAGTAGAGTTTGGAAACCTCCTGGCTGACTGACCGCGTTATTCTGTCCCCAATCTTCCTGACAATCTCCCCACGTGCGACGAGCCTGCGGCATCTTCAGGTCGGTGTTATCACCCTTTGCCAACAGAAGGACGAACGAGGCATCCCTCTCCATGGCAACACGTTCTACCGTGTCCTACATTTAAACTAAATAAGTGATAAAATAAATAATTAGACAATTAATCTCCTTTCCATATCCACCCCTCCGCCCAGTCAAATAAAAGTAAATATTCACAGATCCTATCAACCACACATCAACTCAGCAGCATTGATTCAATACAAGCGGAACTCTTGAGCGCCACGATGGCAAGATGTTAACAACCTCACTTGGTATACTGGCGGTCATGGGTTCGATCCCGACGCTGACGCCTGTATATTTGGAGTTTGCATGTCTCTCTCCCCGTGGTCGCGTGGATTTTTATCTGGGTCATCCAGTTTTTCCCTCCACATTTAGAATCAACATGCTTTTACAGTATTTAGCTGCTATAAATTTCCACGTGATAAGTTACTTCGTTGAGCTATCATTTGTGGCCAGGTGGCTTCTGAAAAAGAACTACATAGCTCAGTGGCCTTAACTAGTAAAATAATCATTAGTTTTAATTTTAGAACTAGTTTCGACATTCAGCGTCTCATCAGCAATCAGGCTCGCTCGAATCAATGATGGCGAACTGCCAGGTATTTATCGGCAAGGTCCCTCGTCTCTGCCAGACATGGGTCCGAGCGTCATGGGGCTCGCTCATCCTGTTGCTTTTATTCCCCAGCACGCCGCTCGCGATAAACCTGCGCTCAACAGGCCCGGCGTGCGTTACCGCGTCAGCTTGCAGCTGCTGCCCGTGCTGCCCAGCAGCAGCTGTCTCCGCGTGCCACTGTCGAGGTGTCGCCCCCGCACGGTGACGCGAGTGCCCCCCGAAATTGGCCCACGCAAGGGTTTCACCTCCAGCAGCACCGGATTCTGTGCCACACACACGACAGAGACAAAGATTCATCCCTGCCCGTATAGCCTTCAACGGACCGTTGGGGCAAGTGCTGTTAAGCGAGCACCTATGAAGCCCGGCATGTTGCTCGAAGGGGTGGTGTGGCGAGCACCAATTCCGGCCACATTCGTCTCTCCAGTGCTGATGCTTAAACACCACACTCGGTACTCATTTAAAGCTGACTTGGCTTAAAGGAACCCCAGGACCTGTTCAGATCTCACTTTCCACCGATGATTCTCATTTCACGAACCACATGCATCCACAAAGACAAAGACCCCTCCGTGTAGCCTTTAATAGAATGTCGGGGCAATTGCTGCAGGCCAACGTGACATTCACAGGGGTGGTGTGGTTGGCGCCACGCACGGCCACCTGCGTCTCGCCAATGCTGATGTTTATACGCCGCATTAGGTACTCATTTAAGGCGAAAAAAACATCGGGAAGGCCTAGAATCGGATCAGAAATTCATCACCGATGTTGGTTGGCTGTGAGCGGGAATAAACCTTGGGTCACTGGGTTCGACTATATACACACACACACACAAAGTTGGTCACGTTTGTTATCATGGAGGTGGTGGAAGTGATAATGATGGTGCCAATGCTGCTGCTACTCAAAGTGACGATGATAATGATGTGTTTGATATGCAGCAATGCTTCATATCCAACACTAGAGTTTGTAAAGATGAGTGTGGTGATTGAGTGGGTGGGTCAATGAGTAGTTGGGTGGGTGGGCCAGTGGGCGGATGGGTGAGTGAGTGGGTGGGCGAGTATGTTGTGACCTGCAGTGTGGTGGTTGAACACAGTGTGATGGACGAAACTAAACAGTCGGTGTCTAGTGGACTGAGTCCTCTACATGAGTGGAGGAAACACTGCATGGTCGTACAATGCTCTCAGCCTTGCCTCAGCCACCAGCTCCACAGAACTGGCGGTGTGACCGTGTTACACAGTGGAGAGGTTAGCTCACCACAAACTGCAAACCGGAGATGGTGGCCACGCCTTGCTCGGTGAACCGCGCGGCCTGGCTGGTACTTGGCGCCAACTCGTTCACAAACACCTGGATCACCTGGGGCGTCTCCGGACGACCGACAAACGCCTCCAGCTGGCAGCGCAACCTGCAACGCGATCGCAAGGGACGCATGGTCGCGCACTCGCAAGGGTCGCACGATCGCAAGGGATGCACGGTCATAAGGGACGCGCGGTCGCAAGGGACACGCGGACACGCGGACGCACGGTCGCACGTTCAGCCTCGTGGTCCACCCGCCTGTGGCGGAACAGTCGGCGAGCGCCTATTAAGGACGACGCAGCACACGAGGGGGGCGGTGCGGAGAGCGGCGCCGTACCCAGCCCCCTTTGTCTTCCGTGCGAATGTGCACAGCCACCTTTTGTCAATCCACTACTGGAAGACGGCCTCCCTGTGAAGTGCGGGTCGTGGGGGTCACACCACATGGACAACAGTGACACAAAGACAAAGATCCCCCGTGTAGCCTTTAACAGACTATTAGGGCAAGTGCTGTTAGCTATTAAGGTCGGCACGAGACACGAGGCGGTGGGTGGCCAGCACCACGCCCAGCTACCTTTGTCTTCCCAGTGCAGACGTTTACACACTGTACCAGGTACTCTTTTAAGGCTAAGTCGATCTAGGGGAGGCCGAGGATTCAAATATTCACCACCGTTATTGGTCGTGGGAGTGGGAATCAAACTTGGGTCACCGGTTTCGTAGTGGCAGTGCCACCGCTCCCCACACATATGCACGGATGACACAGACAGTACACAAACACATACCATAACACAGACGCACAAAATGACACACACGAACGCACGACAACATTATGACGATGGTGGCGGATGATGAAAGACGAAGATGTTGATAATGACCGCACAGTGTTCGCTCGCTCTCACAGAGAGAGAGAGAGAGAGAGAACGACGCAGAGGCACGAGGTGTAACCATGGATAACAAAGTGGGAAATGCAACAGTGGCAGTCACGCCGTGAGGCGGCGCCAGATTCTACCCCAAGCTCTACGGTCCTCTGCATACCAAGGTGTTATTGGCCAATTAACGAGCATTTCCATGTGGGAGTAAATTGGGGCACTAGGAGAAGACCTATGCATGTGAGGGGGCAGCACTCTGTCCTAAATAAATGGGACAAACGGAGATTAGTCCACATTCTGCTGCACCGCATTCTCCTGGCGAGCTAGTGTACCTCCTCAACGCCCACGGGAAAGGAATTTCCCAATATTTGTGTGATCCACCAACCCTTGCTGTCTCCACAGTGCTGGGCTTACCCACCACTGCTCGGCTGACAATTGATAATGGTGTGATGATTATAGTAGTGGTGGTTGTGGTGATGATGATAGTGGTGGTGATGATGATAATGCTGATGACAATGGTGGTAGTGCTGATGACAGTGGTTGTGATGCTGATTGTGATGATGATGGTCATGAAGGTGATGATGCCAATGGTGGTGGTGGTGCTGATGGTGACGATTATGGTGATGATGTTGCTGGTGATGATGTTGCTGATGACAATGGTGGTGATAATGGTGCTAATGATGGTGATGTTGCTGCTGATGATATTGGGGCTGATGACGATGATGTTCATGATAATGATGCTTATAATGACAATGCCGCTGACGACGACGGTGATGATGATGTTGCCAATGACGGCGGTGGGGGTGGTGGTGATGCTGCTGCCCACGCAAGCCTCACGTGGTCTCGTTGCTGTGCGTGGGCAGCGCCAGGCAGCCCGTGCCCCCGACGCGGACCGTGAACGTCCCTGCGAGCTCCGCCGGTGACCGCAGGTGTCTCCCGCACAGCGTCAGCTCCGTGCCGCCCTCCACCACCGCGCGCTCGGGGTGGAACTATGCGCGCAAAGACAAAAGTCCCCCAATCCCCGAGATGACCTTCAGAGACCGTTGGGGGCAAGTGTCGTTGGCAAGCACAGACGAAGGCCGTCGCGGCACGCGGGAGGGCGCCACGGCCGCCTTCATCCCACCGCTGCCGGCGTTTGTACGCGGAACCGTGTGGGCATTTAACGTTGAGTTGACTTGGGGGGAGGCGCAGGACGGGAGGTGGCCGGGTGGTTCAGGGGGGGGGGTGGGGGGGGGAGTGAACCATAATTTCAAACGGACTGAACCATAATAGAGGTTTTTTTTGGGTTAGATCGCGACTGGGTGGGATGGGTGGGGGGCAGGTGGCGGATTGAGATGGCGCCACCCGGTCGGGTGCTCACGCGGACGCTCCAGCGCGCGGCAATTTGCGACAACGCGATGAAGGTCGCGACACTAATTAGGTGACGGGAAATCTTTCATATGGCCGGCTGTGCTCCAGGAACCAGATCGACGGTGCCGCTAGTCCCGAGAGCACGTGTTGTCCGAAGGCAGTAGGGGGACGGTGGGGGGGGGGGGGTCCCAGCGGAGCGCTTCCTCGCCGGCCCGCGACCGCTCACCCGGAACAAGACGAGCAGAGACTGCCGAGTTCGGGGCCGACACACGGCCTCTCGAATCGCACCGACGGAAACGCTCGGGGAGGGCCACAGAACAATGGGGGGAGGGGCGCTGCCGTCGCTCCGGACGACTCCCGTGGAACGTGCCGAACGGGACGCGCCACAGTGCGCCGAGGAGGCCAGCAATGAGCAGTGCTGCCGAAGGCATAATGGCTGAGAAGAGCTTGCTTAGATTTGAGGTCTCCGCAGCCCAGATCAAAACTGAGGTATCGCCGATATTCGCGTGCCACTTCGGACGAGACTTCAGCACCGGTTAATTATCGATAATTATCGCTCAAATTGGCGACGTTGGTTTAAATATGAACGAGCGCGTCACTCACGGGGGTAGTTTATCAAAGTTCACCACGCCGGTCAGTGCAAGTTTGGTGAAGGGGGGGGGGGTCGCGAGAACCGGTTCGAGATAACGCTCCCCGCCGAAAATAGCCACGGCCGAGTTCCCGGAGAGGCGGCGGTGCCGACCTCGGCACCGCCGCCGCTCCGCCTCGGGGACCCGGCACGCACCGCGGAGAGGAGGGGCGGGCAAAAGCGGGGGCTCCAGGGCGTTCCCGCGAGGCAGTGCCGCTCCGGCACGCACCGCCCGGCGCACCACCCGCAGCCCAGCGCGCGTGGAGCGGCCACGCAGCGGCCACACTCGAGCAGCTGGCCGCAGCCCGGCCCCACCACAGGGACCCTCACCACCTACGGGGAGTGGTGGAGGGGAGGGGTTAACGTGACGAACGGGACAGCCAGCTGCGTATCTCAACTCGCATTCTCTGATAAATAAAAAGCAAGATAAGATTCGGGTGTGGTAATCTTGCGGATCCGCCCATGCTGTGAAAAAGAGCTTCATAGCTCATCGGATTCCTCCTGCAGTCTAAATAGAGATTCTGATTCTGAGTCATGAAAGTAATGTGGAAATATAACCACTGCTCCATCAATCACTACGGGCAACATTTTGCAAAGCACACATTTAATGGCTCATGGACAATTTATTTATGATTGGACTTTTGTGAATGATGAATATATTTTTCGGGAAATAAAATATGCCGTATAAGCCACGATAATCACGATAAAAGGATATTAGGCGAAAACAAACGATGCAATGGCGGTATGTCGTAGTAACAGAGGGGTCACCAAGGAATGGAAAGCATACAGAGGGTGTCCACCGAGCAGCCAGAGCGATGGGCTAGCTTCAGCAGGAGCCGGGCGCATCCTTGCATCTTGGGATCATGGGAGGTGGGGTCGACTTGGGGAGGCCTTTATCCAGCAGTGCATCGATCATGGTTCACCAAGATATCGTAGTATCGCCCCATTGCAGCAAGGCACGTTTGATTGAGCAATGGGCAGTTTTCATCACTCTTGGAAGGTGGTGAATCCACATGACCATGACAGGGGTCAGACTCCCCATAGGACAACCGCTTTGGCGAGTATCTCCACCAACGCTGGGATTTCCTAGCCAAAGGACGACTGTGGCGGCGGTTTTCAGGAACTCGCGAGCCCTCCAGATGATTTACGACAGCTGACCTTCTTCGGGCTACCCACTTGTAGAGCGTACATTATACAGGGTATAAAACAAACAAGTATATGATGATGCGCCTCCTCTTCCTACATCCTCCCTCCAAGTGAACTATAAAACTACGTTCTTTACACATCGCATCGGCCACACGGCCTACGGGAGTGACTTTTTTTTGTTCACCAGCATTGGTTCAACACAGGCACAACTCTAGCCCAGTGTTGATTTTCATCGTCTCATCAGCAGTCAGGCTTAAATGCTGGTGGACAGCTGGCTTTTTATAGGCAAGGACCCTCTCCGTTAGAAATGGGCCCTAGTTTGACAGATTTAACATGTTTTCAGGACGGAGGCAAGCGGATGTTATTAAATTCCAGCAATATCGTGGACTGGGTGAATGCAGCTGCCCTGGCACATCATAAAATGAGACATTTCATTCCGCAATGTGTTTCGTATTAAAGAGGTCTCAAGTAAAGAAGCTCCGTTTGTTCTCACAATGACAGAGCGGAAATGGCGTGGCAGCTGATGGTCAGGAGGCAGGTGCAATATAGGCTCTCCATCCAAGCCATGTGTGTGCGCGTGTCCAGCAGACACATGTCCTGGCACAAATAATCTGATATAAGCTAGAAGCTAGACAAGATAGCCCATCAGGAGAGCCTCTCAAGAGACGCATTTTCACATTTTCTTTCGCAATTTATTATTTATTCATAGGGCACTTTCATTCTTCAGCCGATGGGCTTTATTCAGCCAACCAACAGCCAAGAGGGATTTTGTCAGACACGCTCTTCACGCAACCGTATCCACCTACGAAAAGTTAGATTTACTTGCTTTACATCATCTGTAGAAACATCAAACACATATACTGGCATTCTGACAACCACAACGAATGATGGCAGCAAGATGTTTGGCAGCTTATGCCAATGTTCACGTCTACTGGCCACAACAAGAGGGCTTCTAGAGAGAGAATTCGTGGAATTTTGCTGTTCCTTCTCCTCCTCCATTGAAGGAGCACAGACTAAAGTGATTTAGTTTAACACATAGGCTTTCGTTGCCAATATCATCCATAATATCGTTTTTTTGGGTTAGATGGCGTAAATATAAATGTGTCGTTAAACCCGCCACCATCCGACACAGACAATTAGTGAGGTTTGTCACGTAAACAGAATGTGACAATTCGTTACTGGTACAGCACAGCGGCGTGTTGGAGAGTGGATTTGGCTGTCTACCTGTTCGTTGTAATTATTGGCGAAACGTCGTACTCAGATGGTAAATGTTGTGGCTTGGCTCTCCAACACACCAGTCACCGCATGTGCCGCGTGTTGCCACGTGTGGCCGCGTGTCCCACGTGTCACCGTGTGTGCTGTGTATCACCGCCTGTGCCGCGTGACACTTCGTGTCACCGCGTCTCGTCCGCACCTTGTTCCCGGAGACAAAGAAGAAGTGGCGGTTCGGGCCATCATACAGGGATGCGGGGCGGGCCGAGATGGGGACATCCGGCGTTGCGCGGAGCTCGGCGTATGGGAGCGGCCGCCCGCCCATGCTCACTGCGATCTGTCGACACGCACGTCCGGAGAGATCGAGCAAAGTCACTTTGCATCGGCACATACCATTGGCAAAGCAATTTCATCTGTTCACCTGTTCGCTTTTTTGGCTATAGTGGCAATCACATAAAGCACAGATTCATAAGCGATGTTTGGCTAAAGCTACGTATATAATTCTTACAAAAAATATATAAAAAATGTGGCTGCTACCGGCGAGCTGAAACAATAGTGATCGGCGCGGAGTGAAATGCTTGTGTACACCATCATGATTTAATTTGTTTGGCTATAAAGGTATGAAACCGGTTACCAGTTTGCCGCTCGGTCCAATTTTACGGCAAGGGCTAAAGAGACTCTCCAACAAAAGTTGCTTTTGCTATTGTCTCCAATAAATTACTCTACCCTGCCCACTAGGTCTAGGAATTTTTTAACATTTGATAACCTTGACTTAAAGCTTTCATGACTGCAGGAATTCATATTCTGGGATCTTTCGGTAAAGTCACATAGATAGAAAAAATCATATCACGACGTTTCAATCGCAACACAATAACGACGTTTCGATCGCAACAAAAGCAATTGTTGGCTTGTGTTGCGATCGAAACGTCGTGATTGTGTTGCGATCGAAACGTCTGATATGATTTTTTTATCTACGTGACTTCACCGAAAGACCCAAGAATATTTGATAACCTCTCACTCCTTTAACCAAAAGCTACTTTGTGGAGCCTGAAACCAAATGCTCTGTCAAAACATCAGCATGCTTTACTGCAAACCTTTGATATCCCGGGCAGGAAGGTCGTGTTGACCAATTTGAAAACCACGAACCCCAATCGTGGAAACAGTGGCATAACACCCCTCCTAGCCCTTGCAGGCATGGAGCATTTTAGCAACAAGCTTCAAGACAGAAAACGGAATTCCCATGCAGGAAGGTCGGGTGGAGGGGATGCGCCACTTTGGGGGTTGCGCCCCCTTCCAGGAACGGGCGGGAGCGGAGTGCCGCTCTGTGGGACGTTAGTTCACAAGTTTGCACGTCGCGTGTAAATTATTTTATTTGCGGCGTTTTATAACATTCCCTCCCTCCTTTTGCCCCCCCCCTCCCTTTCTCTCTCCCCCCACCCACCTCCTGGCTCCCCTCCTTCCCCTCCTCTTCCTTGTCCCCCTTTCTCCCCGTATGCTATTTATCTTTCCCCCTCCCCATATAAATCGTTATGCCGCCACTGGTGGCCCCCACCTGGGTGGGGCACTGAGCCCAATTCTCTCCCCCCCCTCACTAAGCCCTGTCGCATCCAACTCGGCCTGCTGCTGCTGTTGTTGTTGTTGTTCGCGGAATGTTTGTTCCCCTTCCGTTCTGTGATCGGCGCTGTGAACCGGGCTCGCGTTTAGTTGGAATAAAAATTATAACAACAAAAACATTTGGATGCCTAACTAACATTGCCTCTTCTGATCGTTTTACAATTATAATTCGGCCAATGAATGAGTCACTAAGTGCGTTATGCTCATGATTATGTTGTGTTAAGTGAATTTTTTGTGCATCGTACATTGACAATGACATCCAACGACTCGATGGCCAATTCATAAACACGAAGAAGGAAGCATCATCACAGCAATGGTGACGCACCACTCCGCTACTCCTGATGCAATCATCTGGCACAACCACATCAGTGTACAAGTGTAGTGTTCTTCACAGAGACACACACTTGAACTTGGAGGCAACACTTTCATTACTACACCCCAACAGGGTACTACATAAGATATAACGATATAGGTGGTAACGACCACGGTTAACTCGGACCCCAAACGGGATAACTACTCATCCGAGTGAGGTCAGTAACGTACTGCCTGACTCACGATGCCAAACGTGATGACCGAAGAGCGAGGAGACCTCAAATCCATCGTGTTACAAAACTCAACCAAGGAATTAAAGGGAGCAAAACATAATTAATTAATTATTGTTAAAGGATTACACTGGTAATAGAAAACAAATCCTAAATTAATTTCAAGAGATAATTAATAATGCGTGCATTCTTGTAAATGGCAGTCAACTAAATTAAATAACCCTACGTGAATATGTTAAAACCAGACTATAATGGAGCAAGTGTGAGTCTGTCTGATCCTCTGTCTGCGGGCGTTGCAGACACTGCAGACATTGTGGACGGTGTGGACGGTGCGGACGTTGAGGACGTTGTGGACGTGGCGGTTCCTCTAATGGAAGTGAATATTGCTCGGCCACGCGTGGGTCACACTCGTCTTCCCTGATGTGCGTCGGCTGTGGTTTGTTTTCGTGGAACTCCCGAGGTGGATGTCACTCAACTGTGAAATGAGGGGCCCCCCACGTCACGCATACGTCAACCACGCTGGTCATTACTGATATACTGGCTTGTGGCTGACACACGTGCTGCGTTACCACAAGTGCATCGCAAGGTAGCCGGCGAGCGAGCGATTGAGGTGACTCTGCGAGTGTTGGACCATCAATCACTCCGACTGCCGCTTCACTCTGAGTCCAGTCAGGTGCAGGGCGGTAGAAGCTCGGAGCTCCACCTCAACTGAGACAGCAGCAGGGTTCCAGCTTTGCCCGACTCTGTGCTATGTACAGCAGCAGCAGCGATAATCGTTCGGAGTAAACAAAAACGCCGTGCGTCTGGATAGACAATCACGACTACCTGGGTGGCAAAGTTGTTTGAGGCACTGCCTCGCAATTGCAAAGGTCAAAAGTTCAAATCCTGATTGGGGTTCCGCTCAGCCTTCTATCATCACGACAGGGCTGACAAAATGAATATTCATCATGTCGAAATCCACCAATGGTTGTCCTATGGAGACTTTCCCCAGCATGGGAATGTGGAATTTCCACTGCTGGTTCTGGGATGCCAACACACCGCTCCACTTTAACTTTACTCCACGGGCGTAGAAGGCCCACGTCTAACGTGGGTATCATCGATTTAACAGCATGCAGTGGGGTGTGCAGCATCGCGCACGTACAAAAAGCTCTCAGCTTTATCCACACCACCAGCACAAAGGAACTGAGAGTGTGACCATTTTATCGTTCAAACCGCCGCTCAAAGAGTTGTGAAAACATGGCTGTCCCGTAGGGCGGCGTTTGTAATGCGCGATGCTGCACATCTGTTTGCGTTGTTTTAAAGCTATTCCCTTTACGGCCTGTGCTCGTGTTTATGTTGTGATACACGGGTTTTCTTGTAATTTAAAGATTTGAGCTGCAGTGGTTAATAACGCAATGGGCATCACAACTGCAGCATTGAAACCAACACAAATCCCCAGTTCTGGTGAACATTCTGCCATCAATTTTCCGCACAGACATGCTAACTGCTAGAGAATTTACACGTTTTCTTGTCAACGACAACTACCTACCCATCGACCAAGACTTCAACAATGTACAGTGATGGAAAAAAGTATTTGATCCCCTGCTGATTTTGTACATTTGCCCACTGACAAATAAATGATCAGTCTATAAATTTAATGGTAGGTTTATTTGAACAATGAGAGACAGAATAACAACAAGAAAATCCGGAAAAACGCATGTCAAAAATGATTTGCATTTTAATGAGGGAAATAAGTATTTGACCCCCTCTCAATCAGAAAGATTTCTGGCTCCCAGGTGTCTTTTATACAGGTAACGAGCTGAGATTAGGAGCACACTCTTAAAGGGAGTGCTCCTAATCTCAGCTTGTTACCTGTGTAGTGGAGTAAAAGATACCCATGGGTAAATTGGCCACATACAGTACATACAGACATACAAGCAGTGTGGGTCACATAAGATCGAGCAGGTGGTGGAGTCACGGGTGGCGTAAACAAACCGAAGTAATTAAAGGAGTCATGGCACGAGGGCTGTGATTGGTCGAGAGGCTGTTAGCGTTAAGTGGCGGCATCGCGAAGTCTGGACCGTTGGACAGGTGCGAGCTGGCGGGAAAATGCCAGCGAGCCACGTGGCAATTAATTAAGGCTGATTGGAAAGGGGATAAAACGCTAAGTGATTTGAACGGGGAGTTGAGTTGTTGTTGGGCAGTTGTTGGCGAGAGGTGGAGAGATGCGAAGAGGAGAGCCGGCAAATGTTGGGGAAGAATAGATTGAGAGCCGAACCCAAAGGACAGTAAATAGCGATAGGGAGAGTTAGCGTGAGCAGAGAGGTAGTTACGGGGGAGATAGGTACAGGGAGAGTTATGGATAGATAGTCACTGTGTGTGCGGAGATAGATAAAGTCACTGCGTGTGAAGAGATAGACGAGACACTGTGTGTGAGGAGATAGAGGGAGAACTACTGTGTGTGGGAGGAGTATGCGCGGATGGTGCTGAGGGGAATCGGTGTGGCCGAGTTGACGGAGCGCGGAGAGGAGAAATTATAGGGTGTGCGGAACGATGGAAATAAAAGTGACGGTGGAAGAAAGGCGGTTGTCGTCCGAGTAAATTCACGGCACTACACCTGTATAAAAGACACCTGTCCACAGAAACAATCAATCAATCAGATTCCAAACTCTCCACTATGGCCAAACCCAAAGAGCTCTCCAAGGATGTCAGGGACAAGATTGCAGACCTACACAAGGCTGGAATGGGCTACAAGACCATTGCCCAGCAGCTTGGTGAGAAGGTGACAACAGTTGGTGCGATTATTCGCAAATGAAAGAAACACAAAAGAACTGTCAATCTCCCTCGGCCTGGGGCTCCATGCAAGATCTCACCTCGTGGAGATGCAATGATCATGAGAACGGTGAGGAATCAGCCCAGAACTACACGGGAGGATCTTGTCAATGATCTCAAGGCAGCTGGGACCATAGTCACCAAGAAAACAATTGGTAACACACTACGCCGTGAAGGACTGAAATCCTGCAGTGCCCGCAAGGTCCCCCTGCTCAAGAAAGCACATATACATGCCCGTCTGAAGTTTGCCAATGAACATCTGAATGATTCAGAGGACAACGGGGTGAAAGTGTTGTGGTCAGATGAGAACAAAATGGAGCTCTTTGGCATCAACTCAACTCGCCGTGTATGGAGGAGGAGGAATGCTGCCTATGACCCCAAGAACACCATCCCCACCGTCAAACATGGAGGTGGAAACATTATGCTTTGGGGGTGTTTTTCTGCTAAGGGGATAGGACAACTTTACCGCATCAAAGGGACGATGGACGGGGCCATGTACCGTCAAATCTTGGATGAGAACCTCCTTCCCTCAGCCAGGGCATTGAAAATGGGTCGTGGATGGGTATTCCAGCATGACAATGACCCAAAACACACGGCCAAGGCAACAAAGGAGTGGCTCAAGAAGAAGCACATTAAGGTCCTGGAGTGGCCTAGCCAGTCTCCAGACTTTAATCCCATAGAAAATCTGTGGAGGGAGCTGAAGGTTCGAGTTGCCAAACGTCAGCCTCGAAACCTTAATGACTTGGAGAAGTTCTGCAAAGAGGAGTGGGACAAAATCCCTCCTAAGATGTGTGCAAACCTGGTGGCCAACTACAAGAAACATCTGACCTCTGTGATTGCCAACAAGGGTTTTTCCACCAAGTATTAAGTCATGTTTTGCAGAGGGGTCAAAGACTTTCCCTCGTTAAAATGCAAATCAATTTCTAACATTTTTGACATGCGTTTTTTCTGGATTTTATTGTTGTTATTCTGTCTCTCACTGTTCAAATACACCTACCATTAAAATGATAGACTGATCATTTCTTTGTCAGTGGGCAAACGTACAAAATCAGCAGGGGATCAAATACTTTTTTTCCCTCACTGTACCTCACCATGGGTGCCACGGTGGCAAGACGTTAACTCCCTCACCTGGTATACAGGAGATCGTGGGTTCGATCTCAACCAAGATGCCTGTATGTATGAGTGCATGTTCTCCCAATAGTCACATGTATTTTTCTCATGGTCCTCCGGTTTTTCCCTCCACATTTAGAAACATTAATTTACAGTATTTGGTTGCTATACATTTCCACACAATAAGCCACTTCGTTGAGCTATTATTTGTGGCCAGGTCGCTTCTGAAAAATATCTATATAGTTCAGTGGGCTTTATCTTATAAAATAAAACATAGTTTAATAGGAGGGAAACAATAAAATAATAAAAATATAAAACAAAATTCTCACAACGTTTCGACTGCAACACAATCAATCATCATCAGGTATGAAAACCACAACAAGAAATTTTTTTAAAAGTGGCGGTTTTTTAACGTTAGCACCACGGATAGCGATTTGACAGTTTGTTCAGATGGACGAGTCCATCTATGTTCGAAAAAGAGGAGGGGGGAGACGAAAAATAAAGGATGCGGTCGGAAAGCCACCTTAAGCATGATCAATCAATTAAGACCCGAAATGGTTTATCAAATCCTTTGAATGATTGCTAAGCCAGAATCCATCTTCTCGGTTGAAATTGTCTCTGTGTTTGTATATGTGGATAGCCTCATGAACGAATCTCTCATGGTAGCCAGATGGGTTGCAGAGAACCTCTGTCTTGGAGAAGTCAATGTCATGTGGACCTACTGAATAATAACAGTGACCTGCCACGGCCGAGGTGTTGGTCCTACCGTGTTTCAGGTCTGCTTTGTGTTCACGAATGCGGTCCGAGACATCTCGTTTGGTTTCTCCAATGTAACTACTACCACAGAGGCAACTTAGTTTGTAGTCGCCAGGGTACTGTATGTCCGGAATCACATCTTTTACAGACGGAACCAGATCATGGATTTTATGTAATGTGTTGAATCGGACCTGGATCTTGTGTTTATTCAAGATTTTGGAGATCTTTTTTGTGATCCCCGCAATGTAGGGTAAAGTGATGGTTTTGAAAGGCTCCTCAAGAGGGTCCTTCTTCATGGCTGGAGTGAAAGCTTTGCGGATTGTGTAGTCAGAATAACCATTAGCCTTAAGAGCTTGGTGTACGTGCTTGAGTTCACTGGCTATCTGTTCCTGGTCGGATGTGCATTGGGCTCTATGGTGCAGAGTCTTGATGAGGGAATTCTTCTGGGATGGATGGTGGTGGGAATCCGGTTTCAGGTAAGCATCCGTATGGGTAGCTTTCCTGTAGAGAGTGGCTCATTGAACCATCAGGTCTCTTTTTTAGTCTACGTGACTTTACCGAAAGAACCACTAAGATGAATCCCTGTAGTCACGAAAGCTTTAAATCAAAATTTATAGTTTAATAGTTTTAGTATAACTCAAAACCGGATCGCCTTTCTGTGTTCATGCTGTCGCTATTGAGGAATCTCACCCAGATACGGAATAACGCCGGGGAACAGTGGAACAACGCGGATGTCCAGAATAAACACCTCACTCGAGACCCAACATCGCACTGCCTGGCTTTGACATTCTTTCTACCCGATCACACCGGAGGAACCATCAACAGGCTACTGTGCACATCTCTATCATGGATGTAAAATTCAAAACAAGCCACAGGAGAGCAATTGTGGCCATGCAACCCAAACTATGGACCGTATAGTAAACCACCGTAGTCTGTGCTCTTTCAACGTAGGAGGAGTAGCAGCAAAACGACACCAACGCTCTGCTCAAACCCTCTCATGGCTATCAGAACAAGACATTGGCATCGAGCTCCTGAACATATCGCTGCTGCCATCATGCACAAGAACACTACCCAAACTGCCTACAGGAAAACACAAACATTTAGAAATTGAAAAAACAAACAACAACCGGAGGCTGACACTTGACGAGAGCGACTGTTTTGTCGGGGCTACTCAACACGACCACTGGAGCCACTCCACGGCGGTTGTTTCCACTTCCGCCTCGCCACCCAACCGCCTCGCTCGTCTCAACCAATTTAAGTTTCTCACTAAAACTCGAGAAACGCCTACAAGCGTCACAGCTGCAGAGTGCATTCTACATGGACCGCCAGTTTGTGCAGCTCAATTACTTATTCACGTGTGTTCACTGGGTGAGACATCCACTGTGTAAACGCAAACTGCACGAGTTATTGAGTTCGAGTGGTCGTACACGCGGAGCCGTTACATGCATCTGCTGTGTCGACCCACGGCCTGGCCAACCTTGCAAACCCAGATGATCCATGCCAAGGGGTTTTCCAGGTGAAATGTATTGGCAACAGTACATAGACGAAATTAGATGGTACAAACAAGACAGATAGCCCAAATGAGACCGTGGAAACGAGACATGGAACAAACATGACCATACTCACGTGACTGTACAAAATACATACGGGACAGCAGAGATGAAACGGAACAAACGAGGCCGGTAGTATTGACAGTGCAAACAAAAACGCGCAAACAAGACAAAAAGCAATAGATCATCAGTATTCCATCAGTATTCAGTCAGAATAAATCATTCACAGCCTTATGTCAATCCACTGCTGGATGAAGGCCTCCCCACGCCTTGGGGGTTGTGGGGGTTCCTGGACCATACATACTTCACCGTGCTGGCCAGTGCGCGTCGGAGAGGGCGGGCAGCGCAGATGCGGGATCATAGAGGTACAGAGTGGCATTGGATACCGCTGCTCGCCACCGATCGAGTAGGGCCGCAGCCGGCACCGCCTGCGATATTTTACAAGATGGTCGGTCGCCCGCGGCCGACGGCGTCCACGCTCGACCGCGCCGCCGGTCCGGTGCCGGGCGACCGTGCCGAGGCCGCACGGAGCTCCGCCAGTCGATTGCCGACCGCCCCGCCACCCTCGTCACCGACGTCGTTACTGCCGGGGCGCTCACCTGCACGATGCGTCCGTCCGCAGTGCCCAAGCTCGCCAGCGTGTCGTTGCCTGCGGCGCCCACCGCGATCGACGTGAGCAGCGTGCCCGAGAATTGCCGCTGGTAGACGTCCACGCGGGAGTAGGGCCTGGCGATCAGGGCCCGCACGTCACGGCCGCCGGCGCCGCACACTCGACGGGGCACCGACGGCTTGCCCTGGGGGGCAGGGGGGGGAGGAGGAGGGGAGACGAGGTCTGAGCGAGGCTTGTCGCGACGAACTCGAAGCGGCTCTCGTGTTTTTGCTCTCCTCGCCGTTCTTGCGGTCTCCAGGCTAATTTGCCGAACCGGGCGAGAGCCCGAGAGGTAAGGGGAGAGAGAGTCTCGTTTGTAAAAGTGACCGGGGTCCACCACAATTAGAAAATAACATAAAAAGCAAGCCACAGCAATGAAGCAAATAGAAACCAACAGCAAAAACAACCGAATAATAATTATTAACAGTTATAATGCGCATTCCATCCTAGGATTCCAATCAGATGAAAAACGAGAAAATAAAAATCAACCACATTTGCAGATGTCACATATTGTGCACAGACATAACCAACGTTAAATAAAATGACAGCACACGGCTGTCATGAAGGAAAGCGCTGTTTCACAAGCAGTCTGCAGTATTTCGCAGTCGGAGCGATGTTGCTGTGAGTTATCCCCATTAGTAATTTGCGGTGTAATTGCTCATATATTACTCAATTGGCACCACGACGCCGACACACACACGAACACACACCAAAGGGCTACTCCTTTCTGAATGGCATCACAGAATCTTTGACGTCCGTTGTGATAAGCAGACTGTTCACTCTTCCACAGTTAAAGTAACTGCAGCGTTAACTGGGGCGGCCGAGGGGGTTCAAACCGCAAACCTCCGCGACAAGCAGCGAACACGCCGCCGCTCGGCCACTTAGTTACTGGCTACAAGGGGCGATGGGCTGATGGATGAGTCGAGGTGCAATTTAAAAAGGCGGGACGGCGGTTAAGGTCCGGCGAGCCCACAAGGTGGCTCTGTAGGAGGAATATTATCGGGGTCGGAGAAAAATCCCAAGTTGAAATTCTCCCGGCTCGTGACACAAGGTTAGGGATTTTCATCAGATAAATAAATGAATCAATTAAGATATTAACGTTGGAGCCCAAACATAACAAAATGAAAATGACTCATCAAACCGAGTCGTTTTAATACGAACAACGCCACTGCGCACCAACAATGTCACCTGCTGTCACTTCTGCAAACCAAAACTAAATAAAAAAATTTGTATATTACCAGGTAAGGCCCATTGAGCTATATAACAGCTCTTTTTCAGGAGCGACCTGGCCACAAATGATAGCTCAATGTAGTGTCTACTAATGTGGAAATGTATCGCAGCCGAATACTCTAAACACGTTTCTAAATGTGGAGGAAAAAAACGGAGGGAAAAACCGGAAAAAACGGAGAAAAATCCACGCGATGACAGGGAGAACATGCAAACTGCAAATATACAGGCATCAGGGTCAAGATAGAACCAACGGCCCCTCCTGCATACCAGGCGAGGTAGTGAACATCTCCTAGCCACCGTGACAAACATCACCGTGTCCGTTTATTCCATTTGACGAATTTGCAGGAAATCGGGTAAACACAAGACGCAGCATACACGAGAAGCCTGCCAACGCACCACGTCCATCCAGTTTGGAAAATAAACAGTTTATGCAAGTTTCCCCGAAACCAAATCGTACTCCCTCCTCTGGCGGAATGCGCGAGACGTGACGCTGGAATGCACCCAAGGGGCCCTGGGGTGTCTCAACCGTGTGGGGTTTCTCTGCCGGACATATCGCATGATAACCGCTTTGCTTTTTTTTCATTCAGCGCTCTCAATGCGCTCTTTTGAAACGTAGTAAAACTGTACACACACGAGCAACTACCACCACCTCCAGACTAGGTGCAGAAAACGAAACACAAACATAGATGCATTAACACTCGTAGTACAACCTCGATTCAGTGAATCTAGAGTTACATTTTAATCTGCTGTTTTATTGAGGGACTGTGTGTTGTCTTGGTGTGGTCTGGGACTGTTTTTTGTTGTCTTACCCAAACTTGCATTAAATGTTGAATAATCGGCAGGAATGTATGTACTTATGCAATTTGTACTGATATATTATAGTTATGTATTTTTTTTGTTTGGGACTTGGTAACCTTTTCTCTATTTTGTGCTCCAACCGTTTGTATTGTTTGTCGTTGTGACATCTGCGAAAAAAGAGGTACATAGTTCATCAGATTCATACTCCTGCAGCCTAAATACAGATTCTGATTCTATTCTGGGAGTCACTGCGCGGGTGACTGTCCCCCGGTTGTCGCTCGGGTAGCCCTCCTCCCCCTGCCACCACGCGGTCCCCGTGGAGCACACAGGCCTCCAGCAGCGCATCAGAAAAGCAAGCGCTGGGCAGAGCGTAGAGGAGACGCTCGCCGATGGAGACTCCGCACTACCACACGCCCGCTGTAGCCTGGGCGGCTTGTGCAGCAGCAGCAGCATCGCCAGCAGCATCACCAGCAGCAACAGTACATTGTTTTCTGCTTCTGCAGATGCTGCTGCACAAGCCGCCCAGGCTACAGGAGGTGTGTGGTGCAGAGTCTCCATTGGCGAGCATCTCCTCTGCACCCCGTGCAGGAGGAGGAAGTTGACAAGTGCAGTCACTCCCAGAACAGAAGTCGGACGACAAATTCAGACCAAGGCTGCGGAAATCTCAAATCGAGGATTACGTTGGCTGCAATACAAGTTCAGTTGCAAAACGCAATTTTGTAAAGAATCTGTGCTGCTATGGGAGGGGGCATGATTGGCATATCCCATAAGACGTGCATTCTACTCGTCTTATCTTCACTTCGTGTGAATAACAAGACAAAAGTGTGTACGTCACTTCTGGCGCACGCTGCTTATCCACAGGAAAGATAATTGGAAGTTCACCACGCGGATAACGGGGAGATCCGTGCGTCCACTCTGGCACGTGGATCATAGGAGCAGTGGACAACAGACGGTGAACGAGACGCGTCTCACCGTGCACAATTACTTTCCAGAAACTCAACACGTACTTCTTCAACACTGGAGCCTTAAAAGGTGGGAGAAATGTATAAATAAAAGATATATAATAGGCGACCTTCATTTGTGTGCTACTATTAGACTTTATTTTTTTTTTTAAGGCCAGTGTTATTGATTTAAAAATGTCTTTGTTCATTGTTTATGTAGAAAACCAGAGGTGCTTTCCAGTTTCACAATGCTGTTGGCTGCGTTCCCTAGCCGCAGACAGAACACGGCCTGCCGGCCGGCGAGCCCCAGCACCGATTAAACGGACTCCGAGGAAGTAATCGAATGACATCATTCGTGATTCACGCACACGCACGACCGCCGTTCCATTCACCAAGACGTGAAAGGCATTGTTATTCACAAGGGACAGGTCACGTGGCCCTGCCCCGTGCCGGCGGGCGGCGCTTCTCGGTTCAGATCGGCCGCCTTTATTTAATCGGTGGAAGTCAATTGAGGCTGCAGGTCCTTTTTCACTCGGGCCTGGTGGGGGGGGGGGGGACAAACGAATGGTGCGCAAATAAAACGCAGCTGATTCATCCATACAGACATAAAAAAAAAGTCTCGATGCCTGCAAGATCGAACAGCTGCGGTGTCCCCATCGGGTGGACGGAGAAACGCGTGGCCCACTGCTTGAGGGTTGGCCACTGGGAGATGGCATCGAACCAGCGACCTCTGCGGCACCGCCCCACGCGCACGCGGGGCGGTGCCAGCCGAGGGCAACGCAGAGCCGAGAACCGAAGCGTGCCAGCGGCGAGGAGCCGGCAATGCCAAGCCCGGCCTCTTTAAGGAGACTGCCGCTACGTGCGCCCCTTGTGTGGGCCGGCACTTTGGCAACGCGACGTAAACACGGGGTGAGCTGCGGGCGGGAGGGGGGTGACACTCGGAAAGGTTCACGCGGTTTCCAAAAACAACGGCCAGCCGGCTGGAGCTGCTGCCGCCGCCGCTACCGCTGTTGGGCGACAAACAATGATGATGGCAACTTTGTGTGGACAGTGCAGTCAGCCGGGGTGAGGCTCAGTTGGGGGGGGGGGGCTCATTAGTGAGCACCCCCGTGGTGCCTGTGAAGGTCCTGTTGTGAAAGCTCGTGTTAGTTGAGGCGACATTTTGTGGCCACTGATCTAATTTTGGCAGACACCTGCACCGCCAGCAGCCGGGTAAACCAGCATTGCGATGGGGCAAGATGGGACGCAGGTCACTTTAACGCTCAATATAAATAGTAATTTATAATAATGTATTTGTTTTCATCATTTTGATAGTGAAAAAAAATGTACCATACATATAACTGTCCAACCCGTGCTGTTAATGCTTTGATATTTGCAGTTTCGAAGACAATGCATATATTATCAAAGCATATTTGTTTGCATGTTTTACCACAAGCATGTGTGATTAATGCCTCGTGATGGGTGTCTATCTGGTGTTTGAATATCATAACACCACCTGGAGTTTTACAGGAAAGGGTAAATCAACCCTTTTCTTTTTCATCATTTTGATGGTCCCATAGAAATAATAAATTAATATATTTGGTATTGGCGTCATTCTCAAAGTGCAAGGCTGTAATCACGAAGGCAGGCGCTGCCTGACATGATCAAAAGTATATTTAGAGTAGGGGTCTAAGATTCCTGCTGCTATCCCAATTGAGACATTTACAGTGCAAAATTTAGCAAATTTGGCCCGGGCTTTACAACGAACGTTCACCACGTTTAGAAATTATCTCTGCCCGTCCATCACTGCGGGGTCCAATACGAAGCAGACTTCAGCTGAAATGTGCATGGGCGTCCAGAACTGACCCTGCTGAAAAATCGGCGGCAAGTTTTACAGAACCCATGAGGATGCAAGCTTATTCATCACTGCTTACGCTGCTGATGACACGACCTTGACGATGATGATTCCACAGTATGTCTTATCTGCTTTGGTTTATATTCACAATGTGTGTCAATCGTCATATTACCATATTTGGAAAAAAGATGACCTGGGTGGATTCCTCTCTGCCTGGTGGGTGGCCAAGTGTGCTGCTCGAGCGGTAACGACATCACAACGTTGAGCCGGGTTCGTGCGTCGCGCTCACGTCACGCCTCCACCCCACCCTCTTCTTCAGATGAGTATCCCGCGCACAAATGT